CCTGAGAAATTGACGACATGAATCTACCACGCTGTGTCTCTAAAAGTCACTTTGCTATTTGCAGAACGAGTCTTTGGTTTTATCGGACCAGAATGGCTTAGGTTGGAAGGAAAGAGACGAAAGAGTCTAAATCTTTAACAGTTAGGTTGTCCGTTCTGTAATGATCGGGACAATATATATAAATGGGTGAAAAGCGATCCGAGGAAACAAAAATTATACCATGGTATGTCGAAGTAAAAAATATTTAATTTTACAGCAAGGAATAGATCCATAGTTTATCACGTTAGACTCACCACCAAAGATGCCACAGATATTCATAGTTTGAAAACAGATTTACCCGTAATACTTTTGTTATCAAAGGATACCAAGAAGGACAAATCAGAGGTCAGCGGCGAAGTCGAAGATGTATTTGGAAGGTTGGCGATATGTTGAGATGCGTTTGATCGAAACTGGCCAGTAGTTCCAAGAGCTGGGTGGTACGGTGAACCCACTCGTGATCTGGTGCTTACGTGTGACCGAGAGCCTTTATCTAGGGTGTTTTCGGTAAAACTAACGAGATTGGCGTCAATGTTGAAGACTTACAGAACTATTTATCCTGAGGATTTACTTGCCGCTCCAGAATGAATCAATAAGACTCATTTTTAGGACTCGTCTGTTAATGATGAACCAGCCACTTCCGAAACTCTGCTGTTAGAAAGAGCACAATAACTCATATATTAGAACATAACGTTTGTTTTTTTCGGACAGTAAAGATATATATAATCTAGACTGTGGGATGTGTCTTTTGATATCGTCTCGCTACTGACAAGAATCATCTGGAGCTTATTATTTTAGGGGCAAACATATTTTTTAGAGTCAAGAACCCGAAAAGTGGAAAAAGTTGTTCTTGTTTTACCAAATCACAAAGTGACGCCCATTCAAAACGTTTTCTTACAGTTTTCGTTCTTAGATTTGTTAGAGTGGGTTTCCAGCTTATCATTATTTGTTTTTGTCTTTTTAACATGGCTTTTATGTGTAACAACAAAATTACAAGTTATATACGGTGACTTGTAACTATTGTTAAATTCATATGCATAGTTCTTGTATGCCATTCGTTATTTCAAAACAGTTCGTTGTCGGCAGCTATAGTACAATTATAGTTCACTTTTAGTACAGACCCTTCTCTGGTTTTTTAAAACCTCGAAGATGTAGATTTGCAAAGGTGGGAGGTTCAGAGTGACAAGATAGGGGGACTTTGGAGTAAACATTTACGTTCTCAGTTTCTTGATACCTTAGTATTAAGTATCCGAAAAATACAAAGTTTATCTGCTTGAAACTTTACAAAACTTGAAGATCAGCATCGAAACTTAATGACATTTAAACAGTAGGGGTTAGTTTATTGTAACAACTATATGCTTTGGACACAGCCTTAGCTTATTTGGTAATGTCAGTGTTTATATGCTCACAACTAGTCAGTATTTGATAGTTTTATTCTGTCCCGTCGATTTGCTTATTCTTAATAAATAAACACAAAATCTGGTGCGATTCGGCATCAAAATTGAGTTGTTTTACATAATATGTTTGAATAACATTGTCCAAAAGTGAGGGGGAGTATATAGGCGAACAAGAGTAGTGTATAATTGAGGTTACATTTAAGTTAACAGAACAATGGTATTTTATCCATGCTGAAAGAGTTCCATTAGTTTTTATCAAGGGTGAACAAAAACAGTACACATCGATCTTGATTTGCTCCTATTCTGAGTCATGTCTGATAACATTTCAAACCGCTGAGTTGCAATAATTTTAGTATCTCAGACATGGAGTTATGATGGGCTGACATTTGTAGCACATGTTCAAGCCACAGAAGCAGTTGTTCCATTATAATGACACCAAGTGATTTATCATATGTGCCCAAACACCACCGAATCTCAACATTACCAACATAGTGTTGTCACTGAATGTCGTCACTCTTTTGGAGACGACGATGATCAAATATAGGTATTCACCGAATCTCTTCAACTTGAAGAGGCCAGGTTTTATAAACATGAAGCAGAACTTTCACAGGCGCGTTGTAAACCCAACCTTTTTCAACCGGACTAATACCAGTGACGTCCACAAAGTTGGCCCAGATTTTCATTAACTGCCCCGACTTTCACCATACGTAAATTGATTCCATCTGTCACGCCACCACAAATGTTCACACAACTACCGAGATGCAAGGACTTTTCGGTTACTTCTGAAGGCTTATCACAAGGAGTGAGTGTAGATATAGGCTTTTATCTGTCTTATAAGAGTCTTTTGCATTCATAATGTACAAAGCACATTCCATACTTAGTGTCACTCATTGCAGACTAATTAAGATCGAAATACTCAATTACAGAGTTCCGAAAATTTCTAGTTATCGCATCTAGTAGATCTACTCTATTGTCTCTATATGCATATTACGAACACTTCCGTCTAACATCTGACATCTAATGCATCAACTCTTTACATTATCGTATGTAATATTCCAGACCCTCAAGTCATCAAGTTAAGCTCATAACTCTACACATAACACTTTGTTTCAATAAATTTTTGAAGTAAGTATTAGTCAAGGTTCTTCTGGCGATAAAATTTCCTCAGCGTTAGATTTTGAGAATGATCAATAGCGTATAAAGATTCCTAACTATTTGTCTGTGGAACTTCTTTGATCATTCATAAGCAATTTAGAACCTCGGAAATGTTCATTGGTTCAAGTTCTCATACCATATCAATACAGCGGAGAAAACACATCAAGGAATGTCTAAGTAGTCAAAGTGGTAACAGTATTAGCAGCAGTAGTTTTTTATTATTTATTTAGTTAAACACATTGATACCAAGGGGCTTGGTCACTTTCTTGAGCCTGTATAAAGGGGTGCCAAAATAAATGTGTCAGGTTACTCAAACTGAAACAGGCAGTTTTATTAGGGGGCCACTTTCCGAGCCGTTGACTTAGGGGTCTAACTTACAAGACAGTTGATCAGTGTAGGGAGATGCGGTCCTATGGTACCCATTGGCCAAAAGTAGGTCCGTACGCTATATGTTTCCTCAGGGTTCTGGAACCAATGTGCATCATAGGTTTGGAATCAGGCTTTTCCAACTGCGCCAGGAGGGTTCTCGGTACCCACAAAATTTGTTTAAGCGTTGGACATTCGCTTATCGTCCCTTCGGTTTTGTAAACACCACCCGCCTCTCGAGAAGGCAGTGAGTAGGACTTCCTTGGCAGTGGCTATATACTTGTGACCATATGAAAGAATTTCATGAGGGAGAGCGGATTCTTCCCACCCTCGACTGTACCAGGGAATTCGGGTATATGAACTAGGCATAGAGAAAATAACTCAGGGGAGAATTAATTCTTGCAATCTATCAGACAACTTCAAAGTTCAAGGTTTAAAGGAAGAGTGAATAACTTGCACCACTGTATAACTCAGTCCCTAAAGAATTCGGTACAAATACACAAGGCTTGTTTGAAATGTGTAAATACCTGTAAAAAGTTCACCTCAGAAAAAATGCATGTATTTTCAGCCACAACATATCTTCATAGTATCTCAATATACTTTATGACTACAGTAATCAGTTAAGGTCATATTGCGTAACAGTTGCTTGGGATATTGATATACCAATAATGCAAACAACATTTAGTTGCCAAAGTTATTGGGCGATGTTTTATGTATTTGTTTTTTCTTAACGTATACCGTTAGCCAAAAAGGATGCAGAACTATAATCTTTTAGGCTATTCAACATCAGGAACATTTTTCAAACACATCTAATGCCAGTATAAGCAGAGTTGTTTTTGTTGTAAAGTCACTACACATTATTTGTCGATTTAAGTGGTAGGTAAGTTTATGCTTTCTAACTTACTCTACGGCTTTCTGTCGGTGTGCAAAGCTTGTCTTGATCTCACTTTTAATTCACTGTTTTAATATCATCCAAGTGTGATGACTTTACAGGTTGCTTAGATCACTATTTATCAGCTGCTATTACAATAGCGATATATCTCAATCAGTCACATGCTAGGTTATAAATGGACACACATTTTGAAGCGGTTTTGGTTTATCTGAGTAATGGCAGTTGGGATAATGTTAGGTTGACACCTACTTGCTCTCTCTTTATAATTTGTGTTTCTGTGCTCACTATGAAGGCTTAGAAATCAGAAATTTTTTTCAGTGTTCTAGCAGCGTACGCACTTGATGGCGTTCTGCTTCTGCTTGTTTGAGATCTGGACTCGTTCAAAGTTTGATTTAGGTGAACTATCATTTTTAATTAAGACCATAGAATTAGTTGATTGAGTACATGCAAGAAAAATGTGTCGAGTTATCATCTACAACCATAATCTAACCAGACTATAGTTGTCGGTTCAATTTTACTGTGATTAGATAATGATTTATTCTAATGCATTATGATGCGTTTATTGACTGTCTCCCGTCGCTGCTTAGGATAGCTAAACATCTACATCCTTTTGGTGAATCTTTGTCACTTAAAGGTATCTGATTATATTCTTTATGTCATCTTGAATACTTTATTCCTTGTTGTTGATTCTCTGGTTTGCTTGAGGTTTTAAATTGATCAGTTATCGAACTCCCACTAATTATTTTGTAACATCTACTTGGGAGAATTCCACTTCCAGGATTTTAAACGTGTTTAGTTCTTGGACCTACAGATATTTAAGTGCAAATTATAAAATCATGGTTCTGAATCCTTCAGTCTAATGTAGTATCGTCATATAAATATTATTGTAATATAAAAGTGTGACATATACTCAGTTCACACTCAACAGTTGGACTGTATTATTTTCATAATAATTGGTCCATGTCCTCTGTCTATTACAATTTGATGGTCATAATGAATATTCTACAAGATTTTACCCGAAAACTAGGTGACTGATAAATATTACAATATATTAATAAGATATCGAATATTCATTTATGTTTGCTGCACTAAATGCACTAATGATGTGCCTTTTTTTTAGGAATCTGAATATTTTTGTTATCTAGCTTTCAACTATGCTTCTCAAAGAGTATCGCATATGCATGCCCTTAACAGTTGCCGAATATCGGATAGCTCAGTTGTATATGATTCAGGTAAACGTTTTCGGTTATCTCTGTTTCTAATGTGTTTTTTTTGTGGCTGTTGGGCTTCACATTCTATCACTTTAGGAATATTACAGATATACGCATATTCTTCCAATTAGTACTGTTACATCACATCACAAATTAAGTGATACGGTGTAATTATAGACATCATTAAGCCGCTTATAATTTTGTAAAAATAGTACGGGTTGATTAAACCATACTAACTTGCCTGTCTTTGTAATTTTCTATCTTTTGTTTGTATTTAATGAAATTTAATGCTACTTTTTTTCACAACCCGTGTCTATTGAATACTGATCACGAACTTATTCCAATACAGCATTTGTAGTGGATTTTATTTACATTCTGTTTCTTAAAAGTTTTGGGAACCGCCAGTACAGATAGCATTTTCTCTATCCTTATTTATAAAATGGCTTATAATCGCTTGTATTGAGTAATGCACATACTTTTATGTTATGTACTGTGGCACCGTTATTAAAGATTTTATTTATTATTTTATTTATTTCAACACACAGATATTGGTACAAGGAGGTAGCAAATACATATGCGCCACACAAATCTCATTCGATATGTGTGAGGGCTGTGATACTGCCCGGGTGCCCAAACCGAAGCAGGTGGTTTTCTTAGGGGGCCACACCCCGAGCCTTCGACCTGAAGGTCTGATCCACAAGGCAGTGGAGCATCGTAAGGAGATGCAGTCCCATGGAAGCCGGTGACCAACAATTGGTTCATTCGCCATTTGTTCCCGCAGGATACTGGAGCCCATGTGCACCATTGGTTTGGAATCCGGTTAAAGCGCCGGACATTCGCTTTTCGTCCTCTCATTTTCGTAAACAACAGTAATGCCACGAGAAGGCAGTGAGTAGGGCTTCCCTGGCAGAGGCTATATACGCGTGGCCGTGTGAGAGTATTTCGAGAGGGAGAGCGAACTCCCCCAACTCTCGGCCGTACCAGGGCATTTGTGTTTCAAAACATGAAAATATCTTTTAAAGCCTTTAATTGTTCACCTAAAGATGAATGATTTCACTCATATACTTGCCAAAAGGAAGGTGCCAAAATGTATGTTTAGTTCATTGAATCATGTAACTCATTGAGTAAGGTCTATCGATGCTAGATCGGGTGTGGATCGAACTTTCTGTCGATTGCTTTAAGGCCAAGTCCTCTGGCCCTTTAACCACCGCTTCTCAACGTTTCAACTATTGGGATTTGATTTTCAGTTTGGCATAAGCTTTTAATATAGGAAGGCCTAATTTGCAGTTGAGATAGAAAATTTAGTATTTTGTTGCTAAAACTACTCAAGATACTTTTTCAGTTATGAAGAAAGGTATCGATAAAAGTGAATTCAATATATCAATTATCAAAAGAATATTATACAAATAGGAAGAAAGCAGATGGGTTTTTGCGGAGGCTGACATACATTACTTATTCACAATATAAAACTAAATTCTGAGAGTATGTATAATTGATTGCCAATTTATTTCATGGAAGAGAGGTCAATATATGTAATCCTACCACAAAATAATATTGATGCCATAAATGCTAACCAATTAAGCAAAAGAACTTTCCATCATTTAAATTTCAACAAATGCAGATTATGAATTCAGTGCCAGATTTGCTGTATAGTTTCTCTCACATTGACTATTTGATCATAACTTTTTTAATACATCACTCGAGCAAATGTTTCTAAAGGTATTTATTTCCATTGCTTTAATGAGCGGTAAGATGCATATTTCTTCTACGATAATAAAAGTGAAATGTCTTTGGTTTAACAAATGAGTTATTTGTAAATCTTTACATTTAACCTAGAAAAAGTCTCGTGAAGAAAGTACAGGTCGTGGAAGTGGTGTAGAAATATTGAAAAACGAACCTTATGAAAATGGTCCTGGAGGAAAAGGTCAATACACATTTAAAATTTATCATGTTGGTAGCCATTTACCAAGTAAGTCTTATGTTTCTAAATTCTTTGGACCAAAATTGTTGGCGTTTTTCACAGGTCACTTATTAAATACTAACCTAACGTATTTTACTTATTATTTACGTTGTATACAAGCTATATCAGAAATCTGATTGTCACTTAGTATGTAGAAACCGATATACATTTATATATTCATGAGTAGTTTTAAAAACATAATATGCATCGATATATATATATACAACGGTATAAGCCTCCATCGCGTTGGTTTGAATGTGTTTTACTCATAATCAATCACCACCTACTTTGATATGTGTTCCTGGCTGATATGTAAATAGATTAGAAAAAAGTTGGGGACTAAGAGCCCATTGTGAATTCAGTTTATTAGGTCATTCACTGCTGGTATGAGTCATGTCAGTCGGCACAGATTTCCTGAATAGTACTCGAGGAATACTCACTATTAGAGTTATCTGTTCCGGTTAGAAAATTTGTGGAACAAACATTGATTAAAGGTCCCATATGATTATTATGTAGTTTGACTGTTGTTTTATAATTTAAACTGTAGCTTGGCTTCGTAATATACTACCATCATCGGCTCTACGTGTTGAAGAAGAAGCATGGAACGCGTATCCATACACTAGAACAATTTATAAAGTTCCCTTTGTTGAAAAGTTGGTACTCGATGTCGAAACATATTTTTTCGACGATGCTGGGGAACAAGATGATGTTTTCAACCTTTCACCAGATGAAAGAAAGGCACGTATCATTGGTGAGTTGTCACATAAATATTATCTTTATCGGTCTACATATTTTACTTATGAAATGGAAGGTAAAGCTTTTATTATCGAATAACTGATGTCCAGGTTTTTTGGTTTAATTGTATCAATTATGTTAAATTCGTTTCTAGTTTAAATTTGTTCGAATTACCGTGTATCTCATAAAGAGGATTAAAACAGTGGTTCGTGTGACTGAATGTTAACATAGATGATTACATTTATCCAATGACATGAGAGAAAGACGAGTCAACTGACCGAATCAAAGCAAAATAAATATGATATTTAAAAATAACATTATAAATTAAATAATGCATAATCTAAGGATAACACCATGTTTAGCTTTATCCTAACCTAATTATTAATTTCATTTAACACTACTTATAATTTAGGCCGTCGAGTTTTGGTATATCAGATAGTCAGACATAACAGAGAATCTGGCACGTGTACATCAGTTCAAGTTGTCACACTTCATTAATACATCAAGATGAAATTGTCAACGCAAATCCCGTAGTAGTAGATATAGTAGTAGTATTAGTGGTAGCATAAAGGTTAAGCATAGAAGATACGATTCGAAAAGTTAAAACGTGGTCTCTAGTGAGACCACAGACCTGATTAATTATCTTGTGTTGTTGTTATTGTTACGGTTTTGATTATAATTGTATGGCTAAAGATTTCCCGACCTATCGTGATGAAGCAACCGAGCTATACTGGCTGGAACAACCGTTCCTCAAGGTCCTACCATGTCAGACAGGTCGGTTGAAGAGCAGTAAGACTAAAAGCCACAAACCCAAGGTTCGAAGGCGAGGTCGTACTGCTGACTGTACAGAGGTGTGACAGCAGTAAGGTGTTTCCTTCAGACAACCAGCATGACAGCGATGCTGCCTTCCCACAAGGAGGGGTGGGGTTAGAAAAGGTCGACCCTGAAAATGCACACCTCGCCTTATCCCACGGATATCCGTCTCTGGCGGTAAGGTCCCAAAAAGTACGGATCTAACACAAAAATTACCCATAAAAACGTCGTGTGTGACTGACGTCAAGCAGTTGTCCCTTGGGCACTGCGGTCACGCTCTCAGGTCACTAAGACCACCTCTATTCCAATTTCCTTTTCAGACACCTCCAGAAGAACTCTTTCAAGTTGTGGGCAACCGGGAAGTGAGAACTGCTCTCATACCTCTGACATCACTCAGGACTGACTGACTAAAGATTATTTGTGCTTTCATCCACAACATTATTTGCAACTGTAAGGAGTTCTTACTAGTTCTGCTATTGGGACTGTTCTTCATTACTTACTAGGTAGTTTATGGTAGGGTATTCCCTTTATATTTCCATTCGAGTGCATGAATAATGACATATTCGTACCTCATTTTCCCAAAGGGTAGATAAGAAGAGAATTGCATCGACTACTATGATGTCTCTGTTTGAGTTTTTTGATTCGGTATCTCGGTAAAAGTGTTTTCTTAAAAGCTCATAAGATAAATGGTAGTAAATAAGCCTAATTAATCAGTTAAAAGACATTGAAAGCAAAATAGATCGTTGCGATGGTTGGAAAACAGGTAATTCAAAGATCTCGATAAGCTGAAATTGTGTACATATATGGGTATACATGAATTTTTCATCGCTGTAAAAACAAAAAAATCCATTCAACCTTTATTTGCACCTATCACTTCTTTGTTCTAAGTAATAGTAAATTCTCTGGCTATCGATGGATCGATTTTCAATGCTACCGTTGCTTATAAAAAGTAAAAACTAATGTAATTCTTTTCACCATAGATTTTGGGTCATTCTGTAAAGTCGTTTCTGTAAACGCCTCATTATTGTTAACGTATATTTTTTCATTTCCTTTTCTTATCGTTAAATACATTTGTCCATTTGTTTCCGAATTTTTTATGCAGATTTTATTGACATCGTAAAAGATCCAATTACTGGAAGTGATTATAGACCAGAAGAAGATCCTAGTATTTATGTATCAGAAGCAACTGGTCGTGGTCCATTGTCACCTAATTGGCGTGAGGAATTTATTCATGCTCAACAAGTGACTCATGAAACTTATGAAAAACCACCAACTCGAACTCATGATAATTCACCAACTATTGTTGAAAATTTGAAGCCACTGCATAAACGTATTATGTGTGCATATAAACTTTGTCGAGTAGAGTTTCGTTATTGGGGTACACAAACACGAGTGGAACAGTTTATCCACGACACTGGTATGTAACACCTTTACGTTTAAAGGTTAAATGATTTGTGCTTCATGTTGTCTACTCAATTTGATAATTATTTATACACTATTTAACAAATATATGTGAATTATTTGTAAAATAATCCAGAATAACTTTGGCCAATATGATTCGTGGATAAAAAACAGATCCAATGCAAGTCGGTATTATTTCTTCTTTTATTCATTTTCCAAATAAAAGTTTGTATACTCGAATTTGAGGCACAGTATTTTTGTTTTAGGAATAGTGATACTATTAGACCTCTTCAACCGAAGTTTGGTTAAAACCTTCAATCTGTCGGTTGGAAACGAAGTCCTTTCATTGTTAGATTATCGTATACTACTCGGTCCGGAGAAGTGTTTGGAGTATTTTTCACTGTTTTAGAATCTCTAATAATTTGTTTGGGTTTGTTTTAAAGTGGTACGATATGTGCTTAAAGTATGGTTCGTTTTGTATGTATATCAACTTTGCAAAACTTGTGCTGACATTATCGGGGTTGTTAGTATGTTTCTATCACTAAAACTATCAATATGAAGCGATGAGTTCTGTTCATTGATCTATTGTCTTAAAAACAATTTTGCTAATTTTCAGAAATAAAAACTATTCTCTAATTAGTTCCTATTAAAGATATAATGCTAAAGTTTTAAGAACTGAGATCGAATAATTACATTTCACAACTATATTGTGATAAAAGGAAATTAACTATCTCATTATTTCTTTGAAGCTTACTAAATAGGAAGTTAATCACTTTCATAACTTGTATTGTGTGGCAGTCAAAATGAACTCGCTCTTGCGAGTGTATGTAACCTTCTAGTGTTGTCACTTCTAAGCATGTTACTACACCTGTATATCGTTTCACCCTATTAATTCATCTGAAATATCCTTTTTAGAAGTTCTACCATGTTATAAAGGTCGATTGGGATGTGGCCAAACCAATTTCTACAAATTTCATAGAGTAAAATACCAAACAATCATTTCAAACTTGAGATTTACTGTTTAGTTTGTCTGATTATAACTTCAGAAATCTGTTCTCAACAGTAAGACAGTTTTTATGGCAAATTTATTTGTCTTCAAAAGCAATTATACAATCCTCTTTGAAAGGTGGTTTTTAAAGTACGAACTCTGTCTTTTGAAACTTTATCAGTTATTAGTTGCTATCAAAAGGATAATTATTCCTAAACATTTATTAAAGTGAACTGTAATAATAATTTATTAAACTGTTGTAATTTTCCGAATCGTATTGAATATTTCTCCATTTGCCACCGAATTGAGAGGTGTAGACTTTACATGTATTACAGTCGTATTGAACTGATGTTTCAGTTTAGCCTAAATAATTTACTCATTGTCATAGTACTAAAATATTTTAAGATATTTTGCCTGGAAAGAACATGCACCATCGTCCCAAGTAGTATGTACTGCTTATTTATCATCTGATTTTTTAATATAATCGTTAGAAGTCGGTCAGTGCTAAAGACTACATAGATACGACAGTAACTGTTCATTAGCGGATTGGTTGCAAATATCTAGGTCAGGACGCTAATGACTCAGCATTATTAAAATCTTTGTCTATAACACTTAATAACACGATCTCAAATCTCATGGCAAGTGTTAGTTCCCAGTATATTGCAGATACTCCTTGCTAATTTGTGCCAACTATCACAAAACCTTGATCGAAGGTTTACTGCTCGTGCTTTCCAACCGTCTAACATCAAAATATTGCACGTGAAGTCGAGTCACTTTGATTGTTATTCACTTTTACTGGAATTGGCTGAGAATTAAGGGCTAGACAAACGTATTATTTATTGGTATTCGGCGATCAGTGTATAATATTTATATATTTGACTTTCTTACAATAGGATTATAATAAATACTACAGAATGGTTTGTCTTCTAAAACACAAAATTACTTGAAATTCTATCCCTTTATTTCAGCACTTCGAAAAACTATGCTAAGAGCACATCGACAAGTATGGGCGTGGCAAAATGAATGGTATGGTCTTACAATAGAGGAAATTCGTCGTTTAGAGGAGGAAACAGCTCAAGCATTAGCGTCCAAAATGGCTGATTCCAACCAACCGCCGAATAATGACGGCGAGTTATCTAAGGAAGTTCAGTCAACAACATCAAACATCAATGAAACTATGAATGCTACTGAAGTGAAATGTAATCAGTCTGATGAAGTTAGTTTAAGTTTACATTAACTAGTTTCGGATTAATAGTCAGCTGACTTATACGATACATTCTTTTTTCTCAAAATCTTTACATTTTCATTTCTGAAGCTTATAAAAGCCTTAATTTACATACCGTTAAACATTTAAATGAATTCATAGAAAATGTACACTTCTTGTCTGCAAATTGACTGGTTTATTTTATCAGCTATGGGTCGGGCGTTTTCTACACAACGTTCAACGAATATATAAGTACATCGCGCACGAAATCACTGTTAGTATCATTGTAAACACCATAATCAGACTAGATTACCACTCTTGTATAGAAAATGAATACACTCTATGTACAGATCATTTACTTACGTTTGAGAGAACACACTCAACATTTAACTAGGTGTCGGTCTCTTGAAAGACCTCACCTTGACTCACTTAGTTCCAATTGATCACCAGCTTTCTGTTGCAGCGAAGTCTGGCAACCCAACCTGATGTTGTTTTTCACCTTGCAACTACATGAAGAAACATCTTTTCAACATCCAGGTCGGCAACCACAGATGACTGTTATCGCCTGACAGAACTACTGACGCAAATCAACGATTGATGACTTGTCTATATCCACGTTCTTGTCATCAACAGCTAGAGCCTGGTGAATATTCTTCAACAAACGTCTAAGACAGTAAGTAAAATAAATAACTATCTACTTGAGAATTTTCCAGACCACGAATTACACGGTTTTCAGCTTGTGATAGCGTATTGTTGTCTAGCTGAACCTTAGCTGATAAATTATCTATAACTTGCTAATGTGAATGTGAGGTGACTTACGAGTTCTTGTTTTAAAATGTCATATAAATTACCTGAGGCTGGTTTCGTAGTTCTCACATTTGCTCCACTAATTTATCCGGCGACAACGAACTAGCATACATAATCGTCACTCTCTGATTAGTGTTTCTGTGGGCCAGTAGAATACTTTTTAAGCATACAAACCGTAGTATTAGATCTCTGTCTATAAAGCAGGTACAAATAAAGAGATGGTACGCACTAACTCCGATTTAGAAAAGGCGGGCAAAAGATATCTTGCGACTTGTGTTGATAAATGTTATTGTAATTTCAAAGTGTAAAATAGCGGATTAGATCTGAAAATAGTTCCAAAATGTTAATTTTTGGTGCAACTATAAATTATAACCCAAAAGTTTCCTGGGCAGCGTTTGTGATATTCTTTCCATCAGGTTCACTGTTTTATTGAGGTTGCCTCCCAATAAAATCGAACTTCAAAGATAAATCGTCCCATGTTGCTTTGCACGACTTGATGACCGTATTGTTAGCAATGTGAAACGAAAAGTCGAAATACACAGTTGTAAAACAAGGTCGACCCTAAAAATGTCACACCTCACCTTACCTCACGGATTTCCGTCTCCGGCGGTAAGGCCATCTGAAGAACGGAGCTAACACGTCAAAAACCTTCTACAAAAAGGCCATGCGCGACCGGCCTCAAGCAGTTGTCCCTTGGGCTCTGCGGTCACGCTCCCAGGTCGTTAAGACCAACACTAATCCAATTTCCTTTTCAGGTTCCTCAAGAAATACCCTTCCACGGTGTGGGCAGCCGGGAAGTGACATCAGCCCTCATACCCGTAACAGCACGCGAGACCAAGTTGGTCACATTCAAATCCTTCCTACACCTTCTAATACCTCTCTTATCTCCATGACTAACCCTCCTCACGTCTCTTTATCACCTCGCACCGCTAGGGCAAACGATTCGAGTACGTGGAACTCTATTCCTGGTCTCCTCAAACCACGCTCTAAACTACACGTAGGCGCTTTTAACGTCCGAACACTGTGCCAAATAGGACAGCAGGCTTCCTTAGCTAGGACTTTAGAATCCCGCGCCATCGATGTGTGTTGCGTCTCCGAAACGCGCATACAGGATCCAAGTAGCATCATTCATTTGACCTCACCATGCCAAAATAAAGAACCGACTCGATTTACGCTTCGTGTATCTGGAAGCCCTGATTCTGCTTCCCGTGGCCTCGCCGGCGTAGGTATAGCATTGAGTCCTAGGGCAGAACTAGCTCTCTTAGAGTGGATCCCAGTAGACAGTCGTTTGTGCGCTGTCCGACTGAACGGAACAGTAAGAATCCGGAAAGGTAGGGACACTCGTCGTTGCCTCTTCGTCGTTTCTGCCTATTCTCCCACTGACTGCAGCTCAGATGATGTAAAAGATGAGTTTTACAGAAAGCTTTCCGACCTTCTCCGAAAAGCTAGGTGCTCGGATGTAGTAATAGTGGCCGGTGACTTTAATGCTCAAGTAGGTAAACTAAGCGATAGGGAAAGACACCTAGGTGGATCTTATAGTGCCATGGCTCAAAGAACAGATAATGGCGACCGTCTGTTGCAGCTATGCTCAGATAATCGCCTGTTCCTTGCAAATACTAACTTTAAGCATAAGGAAAAACATCTTTTAACATGGCGACCCCCTAATTCGTCCCAACGTTGGACCCAAATAGATCACATCGCTATCAGCCACCGATGGAGGGGCTCGATAGAAGACTGTCGCTCATTCTGGAGCACATGCCTAGATTCAGATCATGCTCTAGTACGAGCGCGTATTTGCTTGCGTCTTACTGGACGTAGGAAAACCGCTGCAAGGAAACCTCTTAGGGGTCTACTTAATGATAGTCAAGCTAAGAGTATATTTCAGGAACAACTAGGAAAACAGTTAGGCAGCCATGTATGTGATGCCCACCCCGAGACAGCATGGAATGATATCCGAAAAGCTGTGGAAACAGCAGTGATATCTGTTAGTAAGGTAAACCAGAAGGTTAGGGAGCAACACTGGATCTCAGCAGCATCTATCGCACTGATAGATGCTCGGAAACTCATTCCACCTTGCTCTGAACATAGTGAAGAGCGGAGTCAGCTTAAGCGCAAACTGACAAGAAGTCTACGCAATGATCGCGAACAGTGGTGGGTAGCGAAAGCAAGAGAGATGGAAAAGGCAACGGCAATAGGTAATAGCAGACAATTGTTTAGACTCGTTAAGGAAACCGGAATTAGCAACCCGACTGTTAGCGAAACAATCTCAGAGAAAGATGGACATATTATTCATTCTCAATCCAGGAGATTGGATCGATGGGCAGAACACTTTAGGGATCAGTTCAACTGGCCTTCAGCCACACTTCGGTTTCCCACGATCTCCAGTCAACCTGAATGGCAAGTTAATGTAGGTCCTCCGTCTCTTTATGAAGTTGAAAAAGCCATAGGAAATCTGAAACGAGGGAGAGCAGCAGGCCCTGACAGGTTTACTCCTGAGATTTTTAAGGATGGTGGTCCAGTATTAGCAATGAGATTAACCGAGGTCTTAGGTAGAATTTGGGAACTGGACGTAATCCCATCTGACTGGTCTCAATCACTGATTGTGCCAGTTTATAAGAAAGGACAAAAGTCCTCTTGTGACAATCACAGAGGAATCAGTTTGACTAATATAGTGTCTAAAATATTAGCTTCAATAATACTTCGACGCTTAATCAAAGCTCGTGAAGAGCAGACTCGAGAAAATCAGGCTGGTTTTCGACCTGGACGTGGTTGTATAGATCAGATATTCACACTACGTCAGGTTCTAGAACACAGACACACATTCAGACGCCCCACAATGGTAGTATTTCTCGATCTTAAGGCGGCATTCGACTCTGTTGACCGTGGGGTGCTATGGCAGTGTTTGTCACTGAAAGGAGTACCAAAGAAGTACACTAACCTTATAAAGGCTCTCTACTCGAACACAACTGGTAGAGTGAGAGCTTATGGCGAACTGTCATCAGAATTGATTACCTCAAGTGGTGTTCGTCAGGGCTGTCCACTCTCCCCATTCTTGTTCAACTTTGTGGTCGACGTACTTTTAGAGATAACACTCTCCTCATCTAAATTTCCAGGGGTTGAACTTCTACCGGGAGGTTCACTTGTTGACTTAGAATATGCAGATGACATAGTTTTATTTGGTGAAGACGCTGACAAAATGCAGAGTCTTCTGACCACTCTAAGCAACAATGCAAGCATGTTCGGGATGCGATTCTCTCCCTCGAAATGCAAAATGTTGCTTCAGGATTGGGTTACATCGACACCCGAACTAGTGATAGGGAGTGAAGTAGTTGAGTGTGTCGACCGCTTCACTTATCTTGGAAGTCTCATCAGCCCTTGTGGTCTGGTGTGTGACGAAATCTCAGCACGGATACAGAAGGCTCGACTAGCTTTTGCCAACTTGCGTCATTTATGGCGTAGGCGAGATATCCGTCTACCAACCAAAGGACGTGTTTACTGCGCAGCAGTTCGTTCCGTCCTACTTTATGGCTGTGAAACATGGCCGGTAAGAGTAGAGGATATTCGTAGGTTACTAGTATTTGATCATAGGTGTCTTCGAAGTATTGCTCGTATATCCTGGGACCACCGAGTAAGTAACGCAGCTGTTAGGAAACGGGTACTAGGTAAGGATGGCAAATCAATTGATGAAGTAGTGAAACTTCATCAGTTGAGATTGCTGGGACACGTGTTACGTATGCCCAACCACCGACTACCTCGACGTGCTATATTCAGTGGTATAGGAGTAGGTTGGAAGAAAGCTAGGGGCGGCCAGACCAAAACATGGCACAAATCCATGAAGTCACTGACAAGTGGACTGAGTCATGTTGGTAGGTGTAGACTACCTGGTTGGGGACCGCGAGATGATAGCAACCGATGGTTAAAGACCCTGAATGACATGGCTCAAAATCGTTTGCAATGGCGCAGGTGCATCCACTCTCTATGTTCTCCCAAATTCTAATCTTCTGAATTCTTCATGTCCCTTTTTTTCCTCTTTCCAAATTTATTTCACTGGATTATACGCGTTAAATAACATCTCCAAACCCTAATCTTCCCGATTACTGCTTATACTCTTGCTACCTCTACCACTACGGGATTTGAATCGACCACTGCATCTCTGTGCTAATGTGGTATGGCAACTCGAACTGATGTACGTACGTACTAAGTTCTACGTTGTTACTGACTGACTGAAAACAATATATTTGGAGTAAATTATAGAAACATACTAGACATAAACAGCCTCTTAGTGTTCAAACAAAGATGGAAGTATATCGCCACTAAATTTGCACACAAACAACACAAGTATACATTTTTTCACGAGTTTACTCATACGTTTCAAGGTATCCAAAGTATGTCTGCTACACAGTAAATACTCTAGGTTTAATTCACTAATAGTTTTTGTATAAGATTATGGAAGTTTTTTGACAAAAGTTTAGTTTACTGAATAATTACACTAAAAGCCATGGATATGTCAAATCGTATCTAAAAAGTGTTAATTAGGAATCTTATCCAGATCTGTTGAATGTTAAACATGAAATGTTATTGATTGCATCGTTTGGTGCATTCCAAACTAAAAGTAATCTCTTGTTCTTTGCAAAAACGATATCCTGGTGGATTTTTACATAAATTTTGGGAGTTACATGCATACACAGACTATAAAATTAGTTTTGTGGCATTTTTCAGCAGTTTACTCAAAGTTAAACTGATATGATATGGCTACTATATCATTCTCAAACATGCAACCTGGAACAAACATTCGACTCAAGTTGCCAAATCGTGTCAACACAAGTGAGACAGAGTAAATAAGATTGAGCATATAATAATAGTTGCATCTATGAAAACAAAAAGAACTAAACAGGAAGAATGTGGTTCAAGGTGAATGAATTGGTTTGCAGAATTATAGACCATGAAGTAAAATTATAATTCAATACTTATGGGTAGATGGAACGAAGCGAACGGATCTACACCAATGTGCGATCAGTTTTGAATCATGTCGTTTGAGATTTCCGGCCACTGATCAGGGTTACTACTCCAGTTGTTATGTTAGAGCTGTATTCTCAAATATTGTGAATATATATACTGTACAAGAGAGTATATACTTTATGAGATACCTTTCTCGGAAATTTATAGGTTCATGTTAGTTTTCAATTGATGATGTCATGTGTTGAAACGTATCCGATTTATGCTTCCATCAATTACGTAACTCATAAATTAATATTTTTGCCAACCTATATAATTTCTAATCACTAAGTATACAGTTATGATCTCAGTCAGTCAGTCAGTAACAACGTAGAACTTCGTACGTACATACATCAGTTTGAGTTGCCATATCACATTAGCATAGAGATACAGTTGTCGATTCAAATCCCGTAGTGCTAGATGTAGTAAAATTATAAGCTGTAATCAGAAAAATTAGGGTTTGAAGATGTTATTTAAGGAGTATAATATAGTGAAATAAATTTGGAAAGAGAAAAAAGGGACATGAAGAATTCAGAAGATAAGAGAGCACAAAGAATGGATGCACCTGCGCCGTAGCAAACGATTTTGAGCCATTTCATTCAAGGTCTCTAACCATCAGTTGCTATCATCTCGCGGTTCCCAACCAGGTAGTCTAAACCTACCAACATGGCTCAATTGTGATCTATTTTTCTTGAAGTTGTTTAAGTAAAGTGTTCATGTTAGTTCTTACCGTTTACGAAATATAAAAATGTTCCTTTTATAGTGATATGTAATTTAAATTGAGTCGATTCATATATAAGCCAGCTTGTAAATTGCTCATGATTGACCATGACTGAGATTAAAATAATCACATACTTTCAACTATATTTACTCTACATTCTTCACTTTATTTCAGCCTTTTAAATTGTTTTGTATATATGAAATCGTTCTTTCTCTACAAGAGTATTGATTTTACGTTTTCATGGTTTTGTACTCCTGCTTTTTTGTTTAAATTTTATTAGAAATGTGAATCCGAATCAAGCACAGCGACATCAGAAAAATTCCATCTTCCAATTAATTCAACTGATATTGCAGGTGCGGATTTGTCTAAATGCTACTCGTCCAGTTAAAATTACGTAATCTGAGTAGATATTATGTATAATGTGTTTTCCTCTTTTTATGTATGTATATATATGTATCTGTAGGTGTTATCACTCTCTTTATACTATTGTTTCTGTTTCTATCTACAATCCATTCTGAGGAGTCATATTTCAAGTATTGTTGATGGTAAAGTTAGTTAAATATGTAGAAATAATCTGTATTAGAAAACCCCTGCAGATTAATAATATTAATGAATGAATAGGTATATCAAAACAAACTTCAGTGTAATTTAATCCTTATTCTGATCTTTTACATGTCCTCATTTATTCATGCATACAAATTTGTATTCCATTAGTGGATATATCTTCTAAACAACTAATAGGAACATAAAACTTAGTTCATTTAAAAAAGCAGTAAGAATGGCAGCAAATAGATCCGAGGCATACATTCTAAGAATTATACACTAAGTTGAAGTATTTTAATAAATTTATTTTACTGCTAATTTTCCCTTGTTTTCACTTTATTTTTTTACCTAATTCGTCTGTTTAGTACTTTCTCAAGTTAAGTATAGTGTAGTACTTAGTTAGATAATTGATTATCTTCAGTTATGCATTTCTTTTTTTCTTTTTTTTCTAATTGTTTCCCTTACTACAATTTTAGCATAAAATTCTTCAAATACTACTATTATAATATACTTTGTACCTATCTTTCTATTTTTCGCTATTTATTTGTCATTACATCATATAAATATAACTAATATAATGCGGCTCAACTCAAAAAAATATTTTTGATTTGTACGTGTTATTGTTTACGTTTGAATAGCTTCAATGTGAAATATTTTAAGAGTTAGCATAAAATGTTCTATTTTGTTGTGTGTAAAATATTTGAAATAGAAGTTACGGTATTTTTATGTGTATTTATCCATGGTATCTATAATTTAACTGTTATTTTGCTAACCTCTATGCTTTCCTAGATAGTTATGTCGGTTTATGTTGTTTATAATTTAAGTTTGTTATATATATATTCGTGTGTGTAATCATCAACTTTCAATATTAGTTTATAATATAGTCGTTTATTGGATATTGTTTTACTACCTCTACTGCTGTGTAATTTGCCTTGACAATTTCATCTCGTTGTGCTATTAGGTTATGGCAACTTGAACCGATGTACACATGTGCCAAATTCTACGTTGCATTTGACTGATTGATTAACTACTGTTACAGAAATATTTTACACGATATCCATACATTATTTTCTATGTCTACGGATAGTTTTTTCTAAAGAATCATTTGATGGTTTTAAGTTCTCATCTTAAGAATATTCCGACTGACATTGTAATCTGGTTATCACAAAAATAACTAGTAATTTCTGTATGATTCGCTCAGTTTCCAAATGAAATTCTGTATGTATTCGTTGATTTTGTACTATTTGTTATCTTGTTCATGAAAATACTCTAAAGCAAATTTTATGCTTAACTGATGAATTACCTTTTTTTAAAGTTTCTACAGTAGTTAAGTACCATAAAGTTGTATCACTCTCTGATTGATATGTATGAGCATAATCCGCTTTCGTCCAAATTTCGTGTTATTTTGATATTACAGTAACTTGATTTTGATACCCTACTTAATCTTTCTATAAACAGTGCGCAATATTTGTATATTGTTATTGAAATAGTTCGTGCCGATAATCTGTGTGTACAGTTTATTGTCATTTCTAATTATTAAGTTTAATGTGTTTTTAACTTACTGAGTAGAAGGCTATTCTTATACAGAAGAACGTAAAATCTATTGACAGATAATTCCCATTTAAACATTAAAATTAAAACTCGAAGTTCAGCGAACGCATCTCTATTCAACCAATTTATTATCAAGCTGTACAATCGTATATTTATATGAAAAATTTGTTTTTGTAAAAGTACTAATTCCTCACGGAATTAGTACTTTTACAAAAACAAATTTTTCATATAAATATACGATTGTACAGCTTGATAATAAATTGGTTGAAAAGAGATCCCTTCGCTGAAATTCGTGTTTTAAAATCTAATGGTTATATGCTATCTAATCGTTCTTTGTAATGTACATTACAAATAATAAACCTACACATTTTTCAAATCATTTTTTTGAGCACTTAAACATGATCAGTGACTTTATCTTTTAATATTTCATGTACCATTTAGTGTCATTATTTATTTTCTATAGTCGTATTACGACACAGCTTTTGTAAATTGAAGTGAGAAATCTTTCTATTGTTGGTCTTATAGTTATGTCATCAATTACCAACATGGGTATTTTGTCCGATTCTCTATATTTATTTTTTTGTTTTTCTCTCCCCACTACCAGGCATTTCACTTTAAATCTCAATTTACTAACTTGTTTCCTATTTTCATTGTTCTTTTAACGAACTTATTTATATTAGACTACCACTGATTTATTTTTAAGCCTAAATGATACATATTTATGACCGGATATGATTTCATTCCCAATTTACAGTTTATAAAATCAATCCATTGTTTTTTCTACTGAAATGTCAAATTCAGATGTATTTCTCAAGAAATATATTTAATTTGTCTAATTCTTCATATTTTGTCAGTTTTACTTTCTTACTAAGTGAACCATTCTTTCCATCGAAAAGTAGATCTTTGGAATACACACAACAGTCGAATTATTCACTGAAGTGTTTTCGTATTAACGCTGTCATATAAACGGTTTACGTACTTTTCTAAAAAAAATGGATTGTTCTAAATTAATTTGACTAGTAACATTTAAGTTTATTTTTTAAATACTGAATTTGTATTTGTACTTTCTATTTTTTGTTGTGGTATGATTATTTATACCGTTGTTATAATTCACATCTTATGCATATATGTATGCGTCTTTATTCTAACTGCCATTTAAAACCTAGTTGAACGTTATGCTAATAGATATAAATCTGTATAAATAATACTGTATGTTTCCAAATGTATTGTATAATTATTTTGACTAATGGGAAAAAGCATTAACTGTTTTGCTTCGTTTTTTCTTTCTTAAAATAACATTAGACAAGTGTATATTTTATGGAAAACTGTGCTACATTGTTTCTTTTTGCTGGAATTTATAACAGTCTTTTTTATCTGGTTTGAAATTTAGTTGTATGCTTTTTAGATAAAAATTTATGTGTTCATTGACAGTGTATTCATCATTCTGTATACTGCACATTTTTACTCGAACATTCACTGTGTTTAATAGGTCTTATTTCATGTGAATTGGATACTATTGATTTTACTGAAGACTATAAGGTAGTTTCAATCAAAAAATTCATACCAACTCAAACCTTGAGATGATTTATTCAAGCAAGATTTTATAGATGAAAGATATTAAGAATCAAAAGGCATAACTATTCATTTAATGCTCATTTTCGTTAATCAAATAGTTGTTATCATATTGGAACAAGCAATTCTGAAAATAATTTATAATTCAATTTTTTTAGAGTTATTTTCAGTCTAGTTATTGGTGATGATCATGGTTTCATAATGTTTTGGAAAAATCTGTATAAGAAATAGAATCATACTATTTTATTTCACTTAAGGTAGATTTTTTAAGTGATAATTTCATAAAAGTTCAATCGATTTTTATTTCAATAGTAACCTTTTCTACACAGTATTTATATGAAACTGTGTAGTCTAACTTAAACTTGTGAGAAGTTAATTCGATTATTTAACATAACACTAATTATTAAACAAATCCATCCATATCTAGATGGTGATTGAAAGCAATAGAATAATTGGTTTCCAAATACTAGTTCAAATATAATTGCAATCTAGCCATTATTATTATTATTATTATCATTATTATTATTATTATTATTATTATCATTATTATTATTATTAAATTCACCATTTACTCATGCAAAAATAAATCATTTGCTGATAACATATTGTTTTTGAGTCTTCTCACTTTTATTGTTATATGATAATTTTAACCATAAATTCAATAAAAGGAAACAATCTCATAAATTTGAATTCGTCCTATTTATGTTATTCTGATAATTGATTTCAATGATAAATAATTTAATTATTAGTATTATATATATATCAGTGATCATAATTCAACATTTTAGATAATATAATGTTAATTGTTATTTTCTTCTTCGTGATATCTTTTAATTTATTTAATAATTAGAATTTATTCTCTAATGGAAAATTAATTTCAGTCATTTTATATTTAGTACATATTCATCATTATCTCATAATTTATACATATATATGTATTCTAAGTACTAACTATTATGATTCATAAAATTATAAATGAAAAGATTTATATATATATCATTAAGAATAAATTAGATGTTGTTGAATAATTGAGGCTAATGTTAATACATTTTATTGTTTCTAAACACGTTGTCATTTAATCTTTTCATTTTTATTCATAGTTAACAATATTAATATTTATTTTTGTTATCAACTTCATAAAGATATTTTATTTGAGTGAAACAGTAATATCAAAATTGACAAGTTTTTCATTATTCTATTAAAGCAGTAATAATAGTAATAATTACTATTATCTTTTTTTTTCAGAACAAAATTTATGGGCTGATTTTAAGAAATTAGAGGCGAATAATTTTGAACTTGATGATTTTGAACCTTTTACAGCACCATGTACAGGTATGTGTTACTTTATCGTATATATCCTTACTGTTTACTCAAGGATATGACAACTTGATTATTCAAAACATTTAATATTGGTACAAGTCTATACTTTACTGTTCACTGTATTCAATGCACGTGCTGGGAAAACTATTTGAAATGAGTTCGTATTTTAGCATTCAAGTATTCTAAATAAATTGTTAAATAAAACACTAAAAGATGATTGAAAAGATAATTGAAAAATGATATAGCATAAAAGGGATCAGAAACTATCACACCATTCAAGCCTTAAAATGGATTAATGATTAAGAAGATATATTCAAGGCGTGTAGGAAACGTGTTTCGAAGACCGAAACTTTTTATTCAAATATTTAAAGACTGTTTTAAGGTCAATTATTATTGCTGCAAAATCATTAAAAAAAACTAACCTCCTTATTCCACATAGATCTCGAAATTGCATATATTATTAAGTCACTTCTCATTACTTTCACCGATTCACATTTGTTTGAATACAAACATTGAGAGCAGTTTTCGAACAATGCAGTCATGTCTATTGAAATGTGTGCTTAAGTGACAGGAATTCATCGATGTTATTTATTCAGATAAATAAGTAGAGCAGAAGACTATACTCATCAGTAGAAAAAATATTAATTAAACAGGTCATAGCGTGGTGTATTCTACTTACGTTGATGGATATATGTAGTATGTAGCACCAATCGAAAGTGGAATGCATTCCAACAGAAGATTGAGACGATTCAATTGAAGAGAGTAGAAAGTTAGTTGTAGTAGACAGAATTGAAGGAATCATAAAACATGTAAAGGACAACTGATGGAAGATAAGCGAATAATATATTTACTGTATGGTTTTCATATTTTGTAAAAGCACTCTAATTTTGTATAATTTGACTTTCCGTACCTGATTATTTCTTCACTACAATAGGACTGACCGTAAAACAGCTTTGTAAATTTACACATGAAAATCTTTATGGGTTCATTCTTAAGTTCGTGAAAGCCTCGGTCATCAAAAAATTCAAACTTCCATTTTATGGGTGGAAAATTTTATTTCGTAACTTAGATTTGTTTTGCTAATCTTTAATCCACTTTAATGCCTCAGACAGTGTTACAATTGGTTATTCTTTTCAGTTTGTCATCTCTCTGTGTGTGTTACATTTTTAACTATCACGTATTATTCCTTCCACATTTTATTTAATTCAACCTTATTTTGAACAGTATCTAAGTGTCTTGATAAATAAACATGTGATCAGATTGGGTAGATCGTGTATATTCTGTCGTTGCAAGTGTTAACTCTTGTATTCTAACATAATCATTTCTGTTTCGTGTCCACTATAATATAGAGCTAAGGTTTCGAATTTCCTAAATCTTTTTTAGGTATAATGAAGCAGTCCTGTAATACTGTTTACTTTGACGAAGTTCTTTAACTGATATCAATTTACGAAAACAAAAAATAACTTGAAATTTTTTCGTGATTGTACAATGATTATAATTGTCACTGAATTGTTTTGTGTTAGATATATTTTAAACTACCAATAATAAAGTTGCTATATTATCTTTTCTTTTACAGAATCCGATGACGATACTAGGTCGTTTGTTACATGTTGTAGCGATCTCACTGGGAATACTGATTATGCTACCCCTCTTGCGTCAAATTTTCAGAGTTTTGATATTCCAGGAATAAAATCTTGTAAGCTACATTTTTAAAATCATGGTTTCATAATACATAGGTCTCGGTAATTTCCGTACATTCATGTGGTAGATAGTGAATCATTTTATTTAGTACGTACCTGTTCAGTTTACCTCTTTAGTTGATGGTTATACTGCAAAAGCTACATTTTAAAAATCAAACTTAAATAAAGTCAACAAAGGTGCAATCAGCCAGGAAACCAAGTTTCATGTTTTTTTTAAAATGTTTTTGAGTCAAAAAGCAAGAAATTGTTAATCAGAGTTTCCTGTCTAAGAAAGCTAATATTCTTTGTAATTGATCGATCACTGGGATATGATCAACGTCAAGTGTGTCATGTCCTCCTCAACGCAGATCGAATTTTGTCGACCAAGTTGCAATGTTGCCACTAGTCTAGGTGACTCGACATCGCGTGCACTATGTTGAGATGAGATGGTGGTGTTTTACTCTGTAACATTGTAACAAATTACAACTTTATCATTCATGTCACATCTTTTTTGTAGAGTTAAATTGTACAAGAAGCATTAGTGAATAGTTTGATTACGAAATCGATTGTGAGAAGTATGTTGTTTGAATAAAGTTAAACTTTTCGATGTAACAGAATGGTTAGTTTATATGTTTTCTCTCCCTTTTGCTTTTCTCGTGAATAGGCTTTAACCAAAAACCTGTCTCTAGTATTCAACAGAATTGTGGTAAACTAGTCCTTATATTAGTGATTCATGGTGGTAAGTGTTTCTTTTTTTAAAAAAAATAACGTGATCAAGTTTACTTACTGTAAAAGAATTACAGAGGTTGTCCGATATGTAATTTACGTCAGGAACTGACTTTACCTATAAAACCACAGAAAACCAAAGTTCATTTAACTAATATTTGGCCGTTATCAACCATTGTAATACAACTAATCAAACTTTAAGACTTTTGCCAAAGCTTCCGCTCTTTAAAGTTCATAAGTATCAGTTGTGTTTGTTTGTTTCGTGTCTAAACTTCTTTCTGTATTTCGTGATGATATTGCCTAGTTCATGAAAGCCTCAAGGTAAGACCACCCAACTGAAAGAACGCAACTTCAATAAAATTGTTCTATTGAGCTACAGGCCCCCACCATGTAAAAATAAATTATGCATTCATCATTCCGCCGTGTATAAATCTCATAGTTTACTCATTTATATTACGTTTAATCTAGTTGTCGACCACTTAATTGTTTCGCTACTATAAATGTATTGTAGCTCCTGTTTACTTCCTGTATATTTTATTTATGAAACACTCACTAATAGTGAAACATTTGCATTGCATACAAGTCCTTGCTTATAATATTTATTATCTGTATTTTTTGATACTGTCGGATTGAAAAGAAAACTTTTCCAAACAACACATCTTACGTCCTTTCTTTTTACTGTGTTGTCTTTTTAAAAAATATATTCAGGTTGTATACTTGATTCAACTTACGATTTAACTACAAAACGTTCCGATATTTTAACTTTTCGAAAAACAATCGAAACAGTAACAGCTAATCACTATCCAACATTACATAATCGAATAGCTGTAAAACTTGTACCATGCCCTACAGAAATCGGCGATATATTCCGATTATTCTCCAAGTAAGTTTATGTCTTTTTCTTCAGTTATTTTTTCTTTATTTTCCGTAGTTCAATTAAAATAGGACACTAAATATTGTCAATGCAATCGACTATTTATTTCTATAATTAATTTGGTTGGTTTGTGTTGTTTATTTATTTCTTTGTAAGATTGAAAGCTTCACCGGATGCTACTAGGCCAATTGAAACTCAATTGCTACGTGATTTAATGCCTTTGGGGAGTATTCCTTTATTTTTGATTAATTCATCTGGATATTCGCGAGTAAGTATGATTTTAACCTCTTATTTGTGATTTAATGTTGTAGATATATCTGTTTTTCATGGCACTCTCTGGTTTTCTTCATCTGCAGTCGAAAAATTCCCACTGTTCTTTTCCCAACACGATAATCTGTTGAGTAATCAAGAAAGCATACCACTACACAGTTGGTCTGAACCAAGTTTATTAACTATGCCAAAACACGTCAAATGTGTATGTTTTAGTGAATAAATAGATTCATCTTAGAAATTTATTGTCATTGGAGCATATTGGGTTTTATCCCAGTGTGAACATCAACATCGGGACGCAAGTGCATTCAACTGAGGAGTTCGCAATGTCGTAAGATGTTCGTCTTGCATTCCACTGCAAGTCACAATTTATTTATTGTAAAAATAGGGTTATCGATACATTTGTCGTCCAATGCAAATATGTCAATAATGCTTGATTAAGATTCAGTCCTAAATGTCGACTTTAGTATTGTTCAAACCCATAATAAAGATATAAACAGAGTTGTTAGTTTAATATTCCAATCACCAAGGTATGAGAATTATAAGTTTTCTTTGACTACTTAGTAATTTATGATTGCTGTTGCGATCTTAGTTAAGACAGCCCCTTCAAATACAGTAGACTGTGTTATTGGTTACTTGATCAACCGTGTCATGCATCCAGTAAACGATTCCGTTCACAGTCTGCACCTATTACGTTAGTCTTCAGTATGTTTGATCTCCAGATAATCCAATTAGAACTAAACGTCGAAACCAGATAGTGATATGACGGAATAAAAAGGTGACTGACTTCTTCAGTATGACAATTGTATTCCCTATATCATTTCAAATAAACTATATAGGTGTATGTTTTTACAGTAATCCTATATATTCCCTCCTATATATGTTTTTATAAAGTGCGTAAAAATTAGTATATAAGTAATTGTATCAGCCTAATGACTGTGAATTTGGACCTGACTTTAGGACTTGGTTGGAGAAGTGTTTTTGAGGAGTCAATAAATTTTCATCCCAATATTCTTTTATTTTCTCACTTCGTCTCATGGAGATTGCAGTGGTTTCCCGATTGTTAAGTATGGTCAATAAAACCGCAAACTCTACATAGTCGAAACTTACATTGGTAGTGGCGCAGATTTAACAGATAGTTTTATTGAAGTGTGTCACCTAAACTTTTTCAATCATTTTACAATGAATGATACTAATTTTTTTCGAAAACACTTTGTATTTGTGAACTATAATCATCTCAAGCATTGGTTGTAGTACAAATTTGAACTGTATGTTTTTAAATATGTTATATGACATAAAATGTGATTAACTGATATTTATTTTTAAGAAAAGAAACAAAATAATATTCATCTGTTGGAATTTGTATAATTTACAAACATTCCTGTTTATTGACACCTTGATATTGCATCTTAAGCAGAGATGGATAGTGGTTAGCAGTGGAATTCAAGACTCACGTCTCAACCTATTTGTGACTCGTCAACCGGATGTACATACATTCAAGAGGTGATGTTCACTCAGACGGGTACCGAGTACCGTTCACTCCGAACGCTATCGAGTTATTCACTGAGCTACTGAGTTCAGGTAGTCACTGATTTGTCCAATAGAGTGGATTTTAATTCATTTTCATTGGTTGTTTTAAACTTCCCACTGATGTTTAGGACTATATTTAATCAGTTTCTTAGTAGCAATATAGGGACAATTCTCACAGGATGCACATATGTCAAAAGAGACTGACCGATTACAATCTTTAACATCATTGGAAAGCTTCAAATAATCGACTCATACGAATTCATGTTACATCGTTTTCCAGTTTCTGTTGTGTAACAAACCTATTATTTGTTTCTTTCTATGCTAAACGTCAACCCCACAAAGCTCTACTTTCATATTATGTACATAGTTGTTATCATTTGTCATGTGTTTAACTTTATAAGAGAGAAATAGTAATTTTGGAAATAAGATAAAAATTCTAGCGTAAATAGTCTGGTTGAAACTATCCCACAATTATGTTTGAATATTTTTTTATTGTAAAAAACGACGAGGTGTTGCTTAACTCCATTTTATATGATTTGTAGTTTAGCACTCATTTCGTACGAAATGTTTTCTTCACTGATGTGTATTAATCATTAGGAATATTTAAAATTTCAAGTTGCGTTTGTTGTTTTTAGTAAAATTCAGACTATTCATCCAATATAATGCTAACAATAATAAAAATTATTCAGACTGCTAAATAAAGTGATACACATTATTGAAAAAAATTGTTTCTGACTTGATTGAATAATTGAAGAAGAAAAAACAAAAATCCGCTGATATAATATGAAGCCCAAAAGGATATTATGTCAATTTAATTGGCTTCACTTTGTAAACATAAAAACGTAAGAAAGCAAATATTTGGAATATAGAATTGAAATGATGTGATGAGGACGAGATGATAGAAGAATCTAGTGCAATGCAAATATAAACTGTTTTTTCTGTTATCTGACTGACTTCATGCAGAATATGCCAAATTCACCACACAGTTTAAATCAATAACCTTTATTTTTATACGTTAGTTTATTCTGATTACTTTCGCCTCTGTACATTAATATTACCTCAAGCAATTCCAAGGGTCAAATCAGGCCCTACCCTGAGACTGTAATCATATTCATGCCACGTCCTATATCTTCTCTGACAGACCGACTTTTTGTTTAATTGATGGGTTGAAATTATTAATGATCAAATTTCTATAGGTCTGTATTGTGTACTTACAATCATTTAGTCTAACTTATCCACAGTGGAATAGTAAGTCGCACAGCATTTGACATTAACTACTTGCTCATTATTATTGTTCCTTCCTTTACTAAAAAATATATATAAGTGGAAATTACTCTTCGTAATAAATCTTACATGTTCACTCGTTATCTACATTGTTCACCTTTTCATCTGTCTATATTGTGATAACAACATTATTTAGCAAGTATCATTCAGTTGTTTTATGCATTTGTATTGTTAAATTAAATTTCATAAGAAGACAGATAAACATTGATGGTCAAATACTATTGTGTTATAAAAATTAAGTTAACATTTCAAAGGTTGTACATTTTCATAACATTACTTATTACATCCGATAAAAATTCATTGTTTTTTCTTTCTTCTTTAGTTTCTGATGTTTTTTTCCATTTCTTACGTCTGACCATTATGATGAAACCATTGGTTTATTGTTTGATTCTTTTTTCTTTCTAGTCATTCGCATATTTTTCATGTATTATATACATGTAAATATATATGTTCATTATTTTAATCACTACCTAAGATATTTCGTGCACTGATTTACTCAAGTTAAGTTTCAAATGATAATGGCAGTATAAAATGTACATGAAATTGTGATACAATAGAATAAATGTACATTGATGAATATTTTTATAAACCTTCTTTTATCTGTTTCTTAAGTGAAAACCTTGTTTAAATTATCCACACACACAAATACAAATAATATTTATACAGATTGTTTTCATTGTGAAATTTTGTTTATGATTATTTAAATGTTTACAATTGAAACGACTGAATTTCTATTCAAATTGTTCAGAAATTAAATTAACACTTCTTGTACACTGTCTGCTTTTATTGATGGTAAAATAGAAAAGATTCCGATCTTAGTGTAGGTATTGGATGTACTGCTGAGGAGTAGTGATCAGTATCATTTTGATTTTATCTTTTAATGCTGATTGAGTTCTATTGACCAAGCTGCAGCTGCCACTAGTCTAAGTGACACAACGACGCCTGTACTATGTTCAAATGTTAGGTGGTTGAAGTTAGTCGACAACATTGAAATCCCACGAGAAGCACCAGTTCTCTCAAAGCTAAGAAGTACGCTCTGCTAATGAGTATCAACTACCACGAAACCTAGGCCAAGGGTATACTATCAACTGCCTCTAACCACTTAACAAATATTGACTATTTTGAAAATTCTGCAACACTTTATAAGAATGGACTGTATGTCTAACATACTTATTTGATTATTTTCGACAACTAATTGGCGTAAAACACGTTATCATTACTCGGTGTTGTTGAAATTCTTTCCATCTTTACTTTTCACTATAGTATTAGTCTATAAAACACTTCAGATGTTTGATTAGATTTCGTGTAGGCAAATTTTCTGGCATTAGTAACTGTGTTAACAAATGAGTCTTATACTGTATCGCTTATGTTAGCTAACTATTCAATCGAATATTGCTATGTTATTTTAAATCATTTTTTTCCTGTAAATTCTCTGTTTATTTATATAATCATTTATCTGCCTTAATACTAACCTAAAGCTTTACTTCACTATTTTATTCATTCTTAATTTCCTGTCATGTTTATTTTCAGGACTGAATTAATCATCCTATGTTTTTTGAGCGTATAACATCCTCGAATGCATGTCTCGTTACCATCAAAGTTTTTACCAGTTGGTTAACAATATAGATAGTAACCACTAGTAATTGAGATCTAGAATAAAGGTGACGTTCTATTTATGTCTAATAACTTGTATTTAAATTATTAAATTAGTCTGGAACACAAATTTATGTCTATGAAATGAATAAATAAAATTAAACGGCTAGACTATAATTTATGGACAAACCAATCAGATTTAGGATTACTTATTTACTTACGCCTGTTACTCCTAATGGAGCATAGACCGGCGACCAGCATTCTCCAATCCACGCTGTCCTGGGCCTTCTTTTCTGCTTCCATCCAATTCTTGTTCATTTTTCTCATGTTTATCTCCGTTTCTCGGAGTAATGTGTTATTTGGTCTTCCTTTTTTCCTTTGGCCTTGAGGATTCCATGTGACGGCTTGTCTTGTAACACAGTTGGGTATCAGGTTTTAAATATTGGCACGAAATTCATCCACCCATTTGACTAAATAGCGTTTTAGCATTTTAACTAATGTCAGTTTGTGATATAAACCATAAATCGAATTCCTAACTTTAACCATCAACTATAAATCACAATCCTAATTCTTCACACTGATTTATAGCCCTCATTTAGTCCCAGTTAGTAGGTGGACATTCTCATGGTCACTTTAGCATCACTCAAAGGTCGCCCATAAATTATAATCTCACCAATTAAACATTTACAGATGTAATATATCTTACTTAAAAAGATTGAACTAACGTAACAAAATAAGACCGTTAAATAACAAAGGAATTTATCATATATCAATGAATTGTACAAAAATAATATAAGATTATTAGTTCAATGAAAATGATAAAAAAACGCATGCAAATGTTCTATTTCAATTTATCATATGTCTTAAAGTGATATTTTTAAAATTAAAAAAAAGAACTAACTTTTTAGGATTATAAAAGAATTTTTCTCAGAGTGTTTTAGTTGATTTTGAAAAATCACCATTTATATTATCGATTTAATCAGATGATTTAACTTACCAAAAAGCATTTAATTGACTCTGAAATAATAATTAAAAAAATACAGTTTATGTTTATCCCTTTGTTTCATATATTATAGACTCTTTAGTTTTTTTTCTTTCGAAAAAAAAATGGTTTTTCTTTTATTCATCTTTAATTTGATCTACTGTTATTGATTTATGGTGTTGATGAGAGAAAATTATACTTTGTTTGATAGAATAGAAAGTAGAACCTTTCTCTTTTTATTCGTGTATGTATGTGTATAACATTATCATGGAGAAAATGACAGATACGGTGGAAAATTCTATCAGTACCAATAGCTATCATTTATTCATATTATTTTTGATTTAATGTAACAGTAAAGAGTTATTATCAAAAAGAACTAATCATTAGTTTAATAGTTGAGTTCATGAATCATTTGAAGCGAGATCATCATGAAAAACCTGGAAGCACTGAACGGCTGTTTCTTCCTAGTGTGGGACTAATCAGTGCGCATCCACTATCCCACCCCGCAAGATTCGAACCCAGGACTCATTAATTGCGAGTACGTCTTGTATTACAATATGAATGGTTTTATTAACCGTGTTAAGTTATGGAATTAAAAGAATGATGGAAAATAGTTATATTGACCTTGAACTTGTTTAAGCTTGTGAATGGAGAATGAGCTTTATTCTAGGTTGACCTGTATAACCTTGAATTGTATTGATTCATATCAAGGAATTCTTGTTGATGCAAAGTTAAAAAATTCCGATATTATGTATCAACCTACTTAATTGAGCTTCAGTCGGTTAACAAAAAGGTTTTTTTTTAATCAGATACTAAATAAAATTACAAATAACCATAAGTTACCACCTGTTAGAGCTACTCGATATACTGCTTAAGTTTTTTTTCAACGTTGTGTCGTTCATTTTTCCGTGTTTTCATGTTACATATTCCCCATATTTGTTAACCTATTTGTGAATGCGATTATGTGTTTTATAAGCAACATAAACACATATGCAGATAACAATAACGAGATGAAATTAAGAAAAATGTCAAAGTGATAGAATTAGTAACAGTTTCAGTGGTTATTGAAAATATTAGATATAGATCACATGATTTGAGAAGAAAGTATTAATTTGCGGAATAAAAATTCCAAGATAATTTTGAACTAATGATCTGGGGGAAGACAACTAGTAAATACACCTGTATCACTCCAAGCGATTATGAGCCGTATTACCTAAAGTCTTCAACCATTAGTAACGACATTCTAGAGGATCTAGCAGTTTTGATTTACCTACACAGCCCGGTCCAGTAGCCTGTATCTGAATGGATTGATGCTACGGCTTCGGTAAATTTATAAGACCAAGAACTATGGATAGTGTTAGGAAGTATTGGTGAAACCACCAAACTATTATCACAATACGGTAAAGATACAATCCAACGAAAGTAATATAACCACATATAAGTCTGTAATGCTGAGCATACTATGTAACTGATGATCGATATGACTGGATTGTTGACAATGTAATTGGTGTACTGCCTTACATTGAAATATAACTCTAACGTATGGTATATTAAAACAGAACATTTACATACGTCTTTTTATCATTTCAACTGAAATAATAATTTTATTTACTTTCTGTACAATTCTTTTTTATACGTTCAATCCCTTCGTCCTTCGACAGTTTTAACGTGTTATTTTATTCTTTTTACGTAATGTGTGTTCAGTGTTGAGGACACTGTCTTCATTTTTGTACGGTATCATTATCACTTAACTTTCTACCCTCGAAAGTTGCTAAACGCGGGAGAGAAACTCTATGACCTATGTTTATGTTGATACCTCTTATTGATTACGGAATGTAAATGAGTTGATAAAATTACGGATATTTCTTAGTGTTATCAAGACGTCAATAATATGTCTAGGTACTAAACACATAATATATAGAAAATGTTGAACATTAAAGGAAATTCACCATCAGGAAAGAATACGTTTTGCCATTCCGTTTCAATTAATATTTTTTGTGACTGGAATATATTATATAATGTTTCAGTGGTAATGAATGTAAACTATCCTAATTTATCTTTTGATTACATGTAAATCAAACTGAAATGGTTGTCTGTCGCTTCTAGATTTTTGTTACTCTCTCAACTCTTCAGGCAGTATTAATTCAAAACAAAAGTTTATCAGAGTACAAGAAATATACAAATTACTGAAGGGCAGAAAAGTAACCATGAAGTAATTGTTATGTAGCTGTTATGTATTTTGGCAAATTGATGTAAAAAGCCATATGTATATGTAGATTTACATGAAAAAAAACTGCTAGTTTATTTGCCAAATTTTATATTCAATATAAACATATTTCTGCAACTAAATTGGCCAGTGTTATTAATCAAGTGGTTGATAGGAGATTTGGATAGCTTGGCGGAAGGTTGACCAATTGAAAATCAAGGAGGACTAGAAGTTTGTTTTGTCCTATTTAAGAACTCCATGCTATCTTGTAACGTTCTAACATTTGTACTCAACCACTGAATATATATATATATATATATATATATATATATATATATATATATATATATATATATATATATATATATATATATATAGCCTCTGCCAGGGAAGTCCTACTCACTGCCTTCTCGTGGCAGGAGTGTTGTTTACGAAAATGAGAGGACGAAAAGCGAATGTCCGGCGCTTTAACCGGATTCCAAACCAATGGCGCACATGGGCTCCAGTATCCTGCCGGAACAAATGGCGTATGAACCAATTGTTGGTCACCGGCTTCCATGGGACTGCATCACCTTACGATGCTCCACTGCCTAGTGGATCAGACCTTCAGATCGAAGGCTCGGGGAGTAACCCCCTAAGAAAACCACCTGCTTCGGTTTGGCACCCGGGCAGTATCACAGCCCTCACACATATCGAATGAGGTTTGTGTGGCGCATATGTATTTGGTGCCTCTTTGTACCAATATTTATGTGTTGAAATAAAAATTATATATATATATATATATATATATATATATATATATATATATATATATATATATATATATATATATATATATATATATATATATATATATATATATATAGTATTTGTCGTCGGTTTCGTGAATGGGTTCTAACTTATTAAGTGTAAACATTTTGAAGTGGAAGGTTTTAACAGTACTGAATTTGCGCTAAGAAACACTACATCTTGGACCGATTTTTGTTTGGTCATCTATTGAGAAGCGAAAATCACTGAACAGTCGTTTTGTGCTAGTATGAAAATACTTTACCAGAGCATAATTTCAAACTTATCAATTTCTAGTTTGTTTTAATTTTCTAAGATTTATAAACTAGAAGTTATTGTTCTGTAAACTAACTATTTGAATAGAAAATTGACTAATATTTAAAAACTAAGCAACAATAGATGGTATTGAACACATAGTCTAGACCATGAAGTTACATTTCAAAGAAATTGTAGATTTGCTCATTATATATATAATGCTTAATTTAATACCTGTACATTTCTCTCATTTATTCTTCTACTATAATATTGATTTTTTTACCAGTTAATTTCTTATTGATCAGTTCGTACCCCTATCTAGAAATGCGGATGCTTTTCCGTTTGGTTTTCTTATTTGTATTTAAATAAAACTTTTTATATATGCATAAAATTGTAAGCACATTATATATTTTTCAACTATTAAATATGTTTTCTACAGATGTTGGAACAATTAGCATTTAATTTGAACACTCATTATGCTGAGTTTTTACGTTCTCCTGAAGGAATTCACTTTTCTGGCAAAGTTTGTATTGTAGCTGACAGTGTTGGTTCAATTTTGGCTCATGATCTTTTAACAAAACCTTCTACTGATCATGAGTCAGTATCGAATAATAATGATACAAGTATGACAGATATTGGATTAATGCGTCGTAAACAATTTGGTATTCATAGTTTAATACAGTCGGATAAACAAATCAAAACCCCAACTTTAATAAACAGCCCCAGTGAAGTCACTTTATGCCCAGTAAGTTTTTCTAGGTGAGTGTTGTTCTAATAGGTAATTCAGAAATAGTGGGGTATTTTCTCATAAATACACCGGCTTTTTGTTTTTAACGATAAACCTGGTTATCTTTCGTACATGTGTATGGTTTGATGATCCTTTTATCTTCATGGGATTAGTTCCTTTATCGAATTTGAATCAAGTGGGAATAACAGACAATTGAAACAGAATATCATGTGAGATCGTTAATTTTCTCATGGTTTTTTGTACAGATTAGTTCATTTTAAAAGATAATATAGTATTGGAAAATCGACAATGATGACTTTCAGTAGCTGAAATGACATACTTATTAAATGGCATAATACGGAAATAACTCAAGGCTTGAAAATCAATCAAATGGATTGTGTAACAATTAATGAAAATGGAAGTACACAGATTATAAGAATTGGATCTGGGCTTATCGCACTAATCGCTTTTGAGGTAAATGAGGTAACAAATAATCAATGAAAGGTGACTAATTGTTACACACTGGATAATGTTAAACGGTTTTAGAAAGTTTATAACATTGGATGATGATCGTGTCATACTGTAAATCGACTAAAATTCTAGAAGCGTCGGCCTTTGAATACATCTACTCAAGTGATCTTATGATGCAGTACTCGGTCCGTAACCTGGTTATTCTTATTTTGATACTTAGTGGTGTCGTGTTCGCCCATTGGAAAGTTAGAATTGATTAAAGTGAAACAGTTCTGTAGTGCTTCTTGGTTAATAATGGTTTCGCGACTAAAGCCTGTTGATGGTGATAGTGATTTTCAAATTGAACAATTTTTAAGAACCTTTTTAAAAATATATTCATTTTTGATAGTTTTTATACACACACTTAAATATTTCTATTTTTATATTATTGGTTAATTTGAAAATTTTATCTAGAGACCGGTTTTCCGTATCAATCAATATGCACGTAATTTGATGATACTTTTCCAGTACGTAGTGCATACTTGTTTAAAGTATCAATTCTGTGATCTCTGTACTCGATTGTTAACTATCAGGTTCAATGTTCAAACACTTCACTACCTTTTTTTATTCTAAATTTATTTGTTTCATATTCCTGCATGCAAGCACGTTAAGAATTTAGCTATGAAGTTTATTTTTGAAGAACATCTTTCAATCTGTACATTGTTACACAAATATGAAATTTTATCAGTGTTTAAAAATAGAAGCTTTATCAGAAGGGGATTTAGTAATTTTCTCTGAAAATGTTTTCAAGTTGTATGCTATTCAAAAATTGAATGTAAAATTTGTTTTCTTATTGTAAAAAAGCGATTACATTATTTCTTTTCTGTCTATATTGAAAATGTATGCTACTTGTGAAACAGCCATTTGAAATTTCAAAGTCGATAAAACTAAAGAAAGTCAAACGAAATAATATAAGAAAGGAGGGTCATCTAATGAAAACATGCTCTCGCCTGAGTGAAGACGGAATTCTATGACATTTTATCTCTATTCACTGCCCACTCATTATATCATGAATTATCAATTCTGTATATTTAAAATAATTAGTCCCTTTGATAAATTTCAATAATGAAATGAAAAGGTGAAAGTTATGAGAATGATGCAATTTATTTGCGCAATACATTTCGAACAATCTGATCACATAGATACTTGTTAAGACATTTTTATATGAAGGTCAACTAGACAGATTAAAGGTAAGCCGTAACAAAGAAAAATAAAGTACAGAAAAACAATGTGATAACCACTTTGCATAATAAATCAGTATTACCAAGGTAGATTAAGGGTAAGAATAAATTGTTTTTCGGAACACATAAAGGGGGTTTCGATTTCTGTTTGGTCAAGGCTTCAATAAACCTTGGTATACGCCCTTGAAAGCTTTTGTACAATACAACAAATGCTGATTTGATATCAACCTTATGACCCGTCTCAATCAAATGTTTCACAATGGATGATGATGTCTGTCTATCCTGTGATCTTATTTCACCATTGGAATTCATCTGATTCTGCAACCATTTTGGTATATGTTCACTCACCCTTAATGGCAAATCACGATTGCTCCTCCCTACGTACGTGTTTCCACACATACATGTAAATTTATAGACAATGGGATGTGACACAATCGTTTTCATGCTGTTTGGGCCTTTGGTGAAACATAGACCTTGTCTTTTCGATAATAACAAGTTGGGCTTCATAAAATGTCCGGTTGATAGCTAATTTAAGTCTCTGTTTCAACATGAGACTGTTTGTGTCACCTCTGAATGGTAGCGTAATATAAACTCGCTTTTTGGGTGCCAGAAGCGTCATAGGTCTAATCATATTGCAACCCTTCCAGCGGTTTATGAACTTCAAAGGGTAACCATTATTGATTAACGCATCCGTCAAGAGCTTATTCAGTAGAATCAATCGTATTTGTACTAGTGATACTATTGAAGGGTTGATGTCAAATCAGCATTTTTTGTGTTGTACAAAAGCCTTCAAGGACGTATACTAAGGTTTATTGAAGCCTTGGCTATACGAAAATTGAAACCCCCTTTATGTGTTCAAAAACAATTTGTGCTTACACTTAACCTACCCTGGTAGTACTGATTTACTATCCAGAGTGGTAATCACATTTGTTTTTGTGTACTTTAATATTTTTTTCCTTTGTTATGACTTACCCTTAACCTGTCTAGTTGACCTTTTAATTTTTCATATATAAATGTTCTTAACAAGTATATTTGTGATCAGATTGTTCGAAATGTATTGCGCAAATATATCACATAATTCTGATAAACTACGTCTTCTCATTGCATTATCGAAATTATTTATATTTTCAAGAGTGAAAAATAAAGTTTTCGAAAGACTTCCAGAAACGTTTATTAAAAAACAATCTAAACTTCAAGAGCATTAGGTTTAATTGAATGGTTCCATTCAGTTGGATGGTCAAGGGAAAATATCCTTCCACTTCTTGTCTGACTCTTGGAAAAGCATGCTGAAATTTACTATTGTTACATGTTTAAATTTAATACTTTCCATGTTAATGGCGAGTAGTAATGAAAAGCATTTTCGTAGCATTCGGTAAATAGGTCTGTTACTTATTCTCTTTCAATGTTAGAAACCCTATAAAAAATGATCCAAACTGCGTACTATTAAATGTGCACTCTCTAGATACTATATTCTTATCAATGAAATAGCTACGACTGTTTTCAGTAGACGCTTCCTTGAAATACTTATCTCTTCAACTGATTGTGTTCTCTAAATAACCTTTTTGGATAAAGATAAATGTGAAAAAGATTCGTCATTTTCTCGATAGGGATTCATCTAGAATATCCATATTTTTGAGATCCATCAATGTGTATGGTCAAAAGCATACTGAGAAGCGAAATGGACGATTTCGATTCCTTCTCCAGCATTAATTTCTATATCTTAGTTTGTCCCAATTATGATTAATTTTTGAACTGAGATCAATTTTCTATACATTGCAACTGACTGATATGGCTTCAGCAGTAATCTCATTGTATTTCCGTCCTTTTGTGTATGTCGTTGATAAAAATAAGTTGCATATGAGAAGTATTCTTCAGTAGGAGTTCCTTTAAGTTGATATTTGTGTATTATCCGTCCATATTATGCGAGTCTGAAATGAGCAGTCATATCATGTAGTTTCATGCTTTCGTAGTAAATGTATTCTTGGTTTTATAACATAATACTGCAATTATAACCAGAGATGTATGGTGGCCAGCAGTGGAATCCCGGACGGCTATCTGGACTCAGTAGCTAAATTGATAACACGATGTCGTTTGAAGCATATAGTACTGGGTTCGAGTACAGGAGTGAAGGTCAACTCTGGGTTGCAGGTACATCCAGCTGCCGAGTTGCAAACAAAATGAAACGCGCGTCTTTGATTCCTCTGTTAGCCACCATCCATATCTTCTTATAATGCTTGTGACGTGAAATAATATTGAGGCAATCCTCACAGGATGCACATATGCCAACAAGAGACTGGTCAATTGCAGTCCTAACACATCAATAAGAAGATTTAAAGAACTAATACAAAAACGAACTAATGCTGAAATTTCTTGTATATTTCACATACTATTGTATTCTACAAACCAAAATTCATCCCAGTAATTTGGTCAGGTTTTTCATAACTGGTACTGTAACCAAGTGAATAAATAATTAATTTAACTTGAGCTGTATTTCTCGGTTGACAGTATGTAGTTCACTTGTAATTGTGTTTTCTTCTGTATATTTCTATAGCCTGAATCAAATACTAGTCTAGGAAACGTTGAATTATCCAACCTTGAAAATGAAGAATCTAAATCACATAGTCGAATGTCTTCTTTAGAATTTCAAGTATGTTGTTATTACTTTTTAATCGTTAGTAAACTTGCCTTTTGACTATTCTTATCTTCATCAATCAATCAACTTATAATAGCAATTTGATCTTTACAGTTATTGACATTAGACAATTCATTAGAAATATAGAATATCCTGTGGTTTTTGTTTTGATTCTATTAAAATATCTTTTATCGAATTTGCGAAACATTTAAAAGTTATTTAAAATTCTCAATTGAAACGTTTTTCTAGTCATCTACAACGTAGAACCAAGCACATTTATTCATCGGTCCAAGTTACCATACCTCATTAACACAACAAGATAAACACCAAGTTCATAGAAGCAGTTACTTTAGTAATTTATTTAAAAAAAAGATTGTATATAGAGATATGGTACAGGGAGAAATCATTGGTTTTTAGAAAGTTGCAAAGTCATTTTAATCTCATGGTTTAAGGGAAGATAAAGAGTGTATGACGATCAATTTTACTTGCGTTGTTTATAAACAAAAGTGATAATTATAATCATATTGTTTGATTAACTTATTCAACGATCTTTTCTTTTGAATTGTGTAAGTGCTGCGTTCACACGAAATAATTGTAATATACATAGTTAATATTTGTTGACATTAATGCTTGTGTGTATTATAAAAATGGAATACTCTCTACAAACCAGGTAAAGCGTAGTTAGAGTTTTGAAAATTCTTTTAACAGTTCTTTCTATTTGTTTCATTTAAATGGCGAATTATGAATTTCTTCTGGTTTCGTGAATTCTAGCTATCAAAAGCCATAAATTATAATTAATGTTGTCATCGTATATAATTCAAAATTGAAGATAGCCACATTGTTATATTTTCGTTTTTATGGAACTTCGTGCCTAATGTCAATATTGTTTGTATAGTAGTTTCATCTTTTATAAACAAGATTTAACAAAGATATATACTGTACATTTGTTCACGAAGTACTAGAATGTACAGTCACACAGTTTATCCATTCAACCTCAATTTAGCTTCTGGATATCATTTTCATAAGTTAATGGTGTAAATGTTTAATGAAAATATGGTACCAGTCAAATTTAAGATATTCTAAAGAAACAGAGTATTTCTTTTTAAACTTGAACTGTAAAATAGTAATTTATTGTATTCGTGATGCACTTGGAAATCTTTTTTATCTCAATACATGTCTTATGACTTACAGATTTTATCGTACATTTGTTTTTTAAACATTTTATAATGTTTATAACGTAAAACAAGCGAAAATAATCTGGATTGTTTTTCTGCAAACTGTTAACTTAGAGATTGAGGCACTCTTAGATTACCTGTCTTTTATTTAAACATCCAGTTAGTATTGTTAGCTCTCAGATAATCAGTATGATGGATATCTAAATATATTAACGTATACTGGGTGATTTAGTTGAATTGTTTACATTCAACGTCTTTGCAGTTCCCTTGGTTAATTTTCTGTTTCAATATTGTTAGTTAACCGATAACAACGTTATTTAATTTTAGGGTTTGTTTTAATTACTTGTTGACCTAAATCTGCCAGGCTCTGTTCGATACTGTATTGATATTTTTTATATTAATATGGATATTGAAATTCATGATTATTTAGTTATTGTTTATAGAATGGAAAATAGTGACATACACTAAAATTGTAAATCACCAAAATGCATTGAATTTTCATATTATAGTCTTTATTAGGACAGCTTATTAACATGTGTTGATCACTAACAGTAGTATTTAACTCTAATCATATGTTCATGTATATGCGAATGTTGAAATGATAACTTCTAGGTAGATCATAAAAACTGACATTGTTTTTAAAAAACCTAGCTAAACAGTTTATTATTATTTTTATTTTATCTGATTTTTACTTGAAATACATTTGAAATTACTATGCTTAAATTTATATTTAATTTGAGAAAATAATTTCTTATGTAGTTAAAAGTCAGAATGCATGAAGAAGACACCAGTTACTATCATGTTCTATGTTATGTAGGGTGAAGATTTCGTTATGAATTAAAATGATTCGAAAAACTATTGAATATCAACATACTGCTGTTTTGTCCTACCTTAGGTATCTTCAACTGTGCACACGCACAACTATCTAGTCTGAATATACCTTACTTACCATAATATTTAAAGATCTTGAGGTTTATTTCAGTTTGATTCGAGAGTGCTCACTACTACATGGTTTTACGTGATATTTCACACGATATTACTTCGTAACGAAAAGATATCTACAAGATATTCAATAGTTCTGTATAAAATTCCCAGTTTACCCATACCATTATCATTATCTCAACATAATTGCTGCATATTTCTAACCTTAAAATTATTTTCAATAAACCATGATCATTAAGTATAATATTATTCACTTGAGTAGTGCCTGTAAATTTATTTTGTATGTTCATATCTGCTTAATGCTACATAGTTACGTTTTGTGTTTATTTGCCTCGTTAAACATAAACGTTTACATAAGAATATTTTGGTTCTCCGTTATATAAAACATTGGAGTAATATCATGTATTGATATTATATGATGTTTTTTTAAAAAAAATAACATTTCAATAAATTGTTTATCATGCATCAATTCATTAATAATTACATAAATGTAAATATATGTAATAGGGAATTATTTTCTTTTTCAACTTTGTTAATATTATTTATACGTGAATTATACAATTTATTTTGTTTATGCATTTTCATCTTAATTTTTTTTCTTCAATTATTCAATACATATTTGAAATTAAATTTTTAAAAAAAAAGGTACAAAATTTTTTCATGTTGGGTTCACCAATCGGTTTAATTTTGGCTTATCGTTATCAACAAAATCAATTAACATCGTTTACATCATCTATTGTATCATCTAATAAACCGAATCAACTAATTACTAATTCATCTTATAATATGGTTTATCATTTATCAAAAAGTAGGTTATTTCATTTAGAAATTCATAAATAACTTTTTAAAAAAATATTTTTTTTAATTTATTTAAAAATTGACCGTTTTTGCTGTTGTTAATTCATATGTCTTTTCTCGTTTTAAAAAAATGTTCATAAAGTATCCTATTTCTATGTGACTTTTAAAAATTGATTATCACGTGAAGCGAAAAAAATCGATAATCGAAAACATGATAGAAACATATATATATATATATATATATATATATATATATATATATATATATATATATATATATATATATATATATATATATATAGACATCTATTGTACTGTACGTGCTTCATGATTCTTTCAATCTTGTTGTAATTACAATTGCTCTTTATTTCTCTTCCCGTTCTTTTCAACTCAATCTTCTATTCACAGGCATTCTACATCTGATTAGTGCCACATACTACGTATATCGATCAACATAAGTAGCAAACACCACATGTACACATTGCTAAATTGTCTAAATTTAATTAATATATGAATTTGTGTGTAGATTTACAAAATTGTTTTTTATGCTGTTCAGTTTGTTGTTAAGTTTTTACATGTTTTTTTTGGTCAAATTTCAATGGTCGGTTAAACGACGTTGATCATCAACTGAGCTGATCAAATTTAAAAGAATAACTAATAAATTAAATAACATGACGTTCTAGGCATTATTTACGTGATTGACTATACATCTACGGAGTAAGTATCGGGTTGTGAAGTTTGTTGAATTTCATTTAATTCATGAACCGATCATTGTTAGATCACCATTAAAAACGTAGAAGAACTAGAAGGCCGTTTCGTTTTAGTATCGGACTCTTTAGTAATGTGCGTCCACAATCCTGCACGTGGGACTCAAACCCAGTACTTTCTGCGCGAACGCCTCACTTGCAGATCATTGAGCCGGCATCCAACAGTGTTGAAATCTGCTTAGTTATATTCTTCTGAACTATGTATGTGATTGAATAAAATCCCCTCAAATCTACTGTGTAAGCTAGATAGAATAAAAAGTATATTGGAGCTCAGTAAGGCTTCATCTAGTTTTACCTTCCTCGAATAGAGTTCAACGTTGATACTCTCTTTTGTCTATGTAGAGATGATCAGCTTATAGAGGTAACTTACAACTCTTGTAGGTTTTATAATAACTTACTCTTATCCAAATCAACCAGTATATCTTTCTGATGTGCGTCCATGCAAACCAGCGAAATAGTTGTCTGGATTTGTCAAAGTACTTTAAATTTCCTAGGCCCCATTGTTTATTGTTTTGAATGTTTTCAGCTGCCTAGGTTCCAAGCTGGTAAAACACTCAATGAAGCTAGAAGAATATTGGTTGTAGCTTTTTGTAATATTTTTATTGATCTATTTCTTATTTAGTATTTGATTACGCTTTTAAAGTTGGATTATAGATTCAAATATGATTCTGCTGGTCACATTTAAACACGAGATTGAAATTATTGAGCTTGGAAATGCAGTGAATTGACTTCACGTGGATACCTGTTTTTGTAATCTTAGATTGATTATCCCATTCTGATACGAATTTTTGAGATGACTTCAACATCGGTCAATACCTCTTGATCCTCGTAGAAAAGGTTTTTGTCAAAATTTGTCTGACATGATTTCGTTTTTGACTATATAACCATAATCTTTAAGGGGATACTAAGTTACTTGTTGCAGAATAACGTCAATTGAGGACTGGTAGTTATTTCACTTTTCTATTACTTTGCGGTGTTCTGTTTCAGTCAGTATGATACTTCATTATTTGAATCATGTGAGCCATTGCACAGTAGCAAGACCAAACATTAAGTCCATTATTTTTGCATGGAGTTATGACACCAAACGATTTTCTATCCAATTCACTGTACATAGAACAAATGTATCTAATAAATTTTGCGGTTAAAATTAATAATCAATTCGTATTTGCAAAAATACACTTCTCGATGATGAGTATATGATTTAGTTAATTATGTCTTTCTAATTTTCTTTTTCACAATCATTGGATAGAAATTAAGTTGTCCGTAGGTCAAGCTTATAATCTTTTTCATTTAACTGATCCATGTGGTTTTCGCATTGAACCATTGTTGGATAGTCGTTTCAGCTGTATATCCCCAATATTCATTCCCCAATATGTTCGTTATCCACTTGGAGATGGACAGTCAACAAATCTAATTGAAACTCTTATACAGCAGGCTGAATTATTTTCTGCAAATGTTTCAGAAAAATCATACAATTTATCCGATAGTGATAATTCTACGATTAATGAAAATAATGATAGTACTGTAAATGTAAAACGGCAATTAACAAATCAACAGTTAAATTGGGAAAAAAAGTCTATTGTTGCACTTGAAGCATTGAAAAAAGGTTTGTTTTCTCACGCAAAACTTCTGAAAGTTTTTGTTCATACATGTAATGTACTGAATATACTTTGTAGTAGTATTAATATTGTTGCAAAATTATTTTTTTTGATAAAATATCCTATTGGTTTTTTTTGCAAGATTAGTAACTTGCTTTCTTACTTGCTGTAGTTAAACTGGATATTTTGAAGCTGAGAGCGCTATAACTTTCTAGACGTCACAATACTGAATGTAATCAAAAAACCACTGTAACAGTGATAATGTTATTGTCCAAAATACCAAAATCCAACTTGATGCAACACAAAATGTTAAAATATGCAATCACCATTAACTAGTTTACTAATGAAGATTCATAGTACTTTTTGTATTACTCTCCACCTCGCAGCACGATAGTCTTGATCAATCGTCAAAAACTTTTACTGCCCAACCAACATTAATTCAACGGTGCCAAATGACATGACATTCTTCCACAAAATGGACTACCAAGATCTTTCTCAATACATTAGCACGTGCAATGTTGTATAAGACAGTTTGCATCTCGATTATGGGTAGTACTGTAGAAATCCTACCGTATGTATGGATATTCTTGCTATGTCTTCTTGATGATCATGATTAATACAAATAATGCCATAAAAATAATTTTTAATATTCTCGGATTTACGATTGATTTCAGGAGAATATACACTTTTAAAGCTACAGCTATGGCAACTGACAAATCACAGTTATGAGCTCTGAATTCTTTGACAGTTGATACACTACCTTGATCTTTATGTTAATTCGTAAGAGGGTTAATGACATTTTGCTAATGAAGCCATGATAATGCTATAATTAGTGGATTGATTCATAGATGTACATTTGCATAACTAGGAAAGCATAAAAATTGTCCATTCTTAGTTGTAGATGATTGTTCAAATGGTGTAAAGCATTGGTTGATAGCTGCACTAGTTATTCATAATACTGACGTGAATTCCTTTATCTTATATGCCGTCATAACACAAAATAAATTACTATCAGATGCACTATAGTTTTCTAAAACTTTGTGTTAGATAATTTCAACTAGTCGACAAATAGATTTTCTGAAGTAATTCAGCATACAGTAGATCATGATAGTCCAGCTCTCCATACTAAGATATCTAGTAAAAAAGTTAGTAAGTTGGAAACAAAGTGAACCGAATATGAAATGGATGGACAAAAAAAGTGTGTATGATCTGAGTATTCCAAATCTTTTGAATAAGGAGATCAGGATGTTGATAGGATGCAATATTCCATAGTCACAATCGTGAAGCAAACATTTGGTGATTAGACAGGTGTATGCTATATTAGGTGATCGTTGAACCAGAGCTTATCATCATTGCTCTTGAATATGTATTCAAGCCAAACAGGACAACTAGTTTACTCATTGTTATCTGTTAATCTAGATTGACGTATATTGTAATCAGATGTTCAGAAAGTATATAATTAATTTTCGATAAATTTGTAAGTAATTTTGCATCAACAGTTATAATCTTGAATTATCATTGAAAAGATCAAACTTCTTAAGTATTTATGAATTTCAAATAACTATTCGACTACCTTTCTATTTCGAATTTTGCAAACTGTTAGTCACTAATAGATAACATTAAGCATGGTATTAATGTTCGATGGTTTAAGATACCATATTTGAAACCATTACATAGAGAGAATATCAACAAGACGAAAAATCAGATTGTTAATATGACGTAGTAAAAACAGTAGGATCAAATTTGAGATGGTAAAGTCAGATAGATACAGTTAATGACATTCAATAATAATGCCTATTTTTAGTGTACAATTAATAATTGTTCTAACATTTAAAGTAGGTCAGTGTTTGATAAAATAATCAAAAACATATGTATTACTGAAGGATAAAATAATCAATAATTAATTACCATTTTATAATTAAAAAAAGCTGTATGATGAACCAATGATTGTTGAAATTTATTCAGGTTAAAACCATTCATTGTTCTTTCCTTGCCTAAGGGTAATACATGATTATTGCAATGTTTTAAAAAAAATAATAAAAACGTTATGGTTACTAGTTCAAATTCCTGTGAGTTTGATGAGTTCAAATTTCATTTTAAAACGTCATCAGTGATGCTAAATTTTTCTAATTTTGTACGGTTTTTGACCGCTATAGGCTAAATGCTATCAAAATGAGACATAAATGAACCTTGTATGATACTTATGCAACGTATCGGATTTGAAAGAGAAGGGTCATCTGTTAAGTACTAATGCAATACTTTTTCAAGTGTAAACAATAAATTCGAGTTGCTTAAATATGGATTAATCTTACACAAAGTAATTTCATAACGATGACTTGTATTTCGGCAAAGATTTTGCTAAACACATCTCCGCTATCTAAAAATCATTTCAGAAACAGTGTTTTTTTCATTGATTTGTCTACTAGTGCCTTTACATTAAAAATAAAAATTTTACTTTGTGTATTATCAAACTGGGCTACAATTAAATTACTCGTTTAAGTTGTTAGTTATAGGCTTTTTCATTATCTACACTTAAAATACTTCTAGATATCTGGTTTCCACATTAGTTTGACATATGATTCGCTCATTAGTTTATCGCCTCATGCCTATCGAACTTGCTTTTGTTTAGGGTTTCAGTTATGAGTATCGCTCTTTGTACTGCAATATGAAATGAAACTTTGTATGAGACAGATTAGTAACATGATGATAATGGTTTCACGCATTTGTAAAATTAAATTACGCAATACTGAAGTAAGCGGAGTTAAAATGTCTTAGTTTACTACTTATTCGTCTTAAACAAGTATTTTTCTTTTACCAGTTACTACTTTTTAAGCACTTGCTTTTTTTTTCTAGTTCAACAGTCATGGTGGGGACCTAAAAGAGTTGATTACAATGTTCATTGTCCAGAAGCAATGCAAAATATTTTAGCTCGTGCACGTCCTTCAATTTTGCATGCAAGCTACTGGGAATCAAAAGATGTAGCATCTTTTATTATACGACAGGTTAGTGTGTTCAATTGATACTTAGAACTTAAAGTTTGATCTCAAACGATAACCTTTTTGTACATCAATTGGTGTCAAACAGTGGATTGTTAAATTGAATTGAATTTATGCTTAATCCGTATTTATCATTCTTCAATATTAAACTATAGTACAATTTAGATAAGATTAACCACATGTTTGAAGCACGCGAAATAGCTAAATATTTTAAGATTGATAATCATACTACCGTTTTGTGGTTGTGTTATGTCCTATGAACTGGGCAATTTAATTTCAAGTTTCGTTATTGATCTGGACAACAACATTCACACTTCACATAGAAGTGAGTTGTTTACTTAATCTAATATACATATATATGGCCACGCGTATATAGCCTCTGCCAGGGAAGTCCTACTCACTGCCTTCTCGTGGCATTACTGTTGTTTACGAAAATGAGAGGACGAAAAGCGAATGTCCGGCGCTTTAACCGGATTCCAAACCAATGGCGCACATGGGCTCCAGTATCCTGCGGGAACAAATGGCGTATGAACCAATTGTTGGTCACCGGCTTCCATGGGACTGCATCTCCTTACGATGCTCCACTGCCTTGTGGATCAGACCTTTGGGTCGAAGGCTCGGGGTGTGGCCCCCTAAGAAAACCACCTGCTTCGGTTTGGGCACCCGGGCAGTATCACAGCCCTCACACACATATCGAATGAGATTTGTGTGGCGCATATGTATTTGGTACCTCCTTGAACCAATATCTGTGTTGAAATAAATAATATATATATATATATATATATATATATATATATATAGAGAGAGAGAGAGAGAGTACCAATAATCACTCGACGATGCATTTGGTTATCAATATCTTTTTTTTTACATTTTTGCTTCGAACTTTCATCTCATCAATGAACAATTTAATAATACTATCCTAATATTACTACGTTTTATGCTTGTATGTTTTGTTGTTTAGATGTCATTTAGACATTTAAAAAAAAATTATTTTCAGCACTGTCATTACTGAGCTTATTAAATTTCGATTCCTTCTTGCGGATATTATACACTTAGACTATCATTGGTTAATTATAATGTTGCTGTTCCGACGTCTCTGTTTTTGTTGTCTCTTCTCTAGTTGTGGATAATTAGAATTACTCTTTAAGGGTAGTTGAATCACTTCTCCATATAGTATGCATACTTCAGTAGGATATCCCAGTTATCCTACTCAGCCTACTTCTGCCTCACATGACTCTTATCTTTGTGATAAGTGTTCTCTCAAAATAACCTATGAACAACATATTATAAAACGTTTTATCCTCAAATATCTATGCTCTACCTGTTGTTTTTTGTATCAACCTCACCATGCCTTTAAATTAACATCAGCTCTGTAGCTATTTCTAGAATATAATTTGAAGATGTGGGTCATTTTTCCTAGTGATAAATCCATTATGTTCTCTGGAGCTAAATCCCAGATCCGAAGCCCAAACCAGCTACTTCATTTTGTCCAGCCGGGTTGTATCCGTAGCTCATGTTTAACTACCTTGTAAATGAACTAATTTTATTATTACATTACATTACGAGATTGGTTATACGAGTATTCTCTGAAATGTATCTATGATTTTCCGATAAATAATCTTATCAATTAAAATTTCTTTTCTAATATTTGTTGTGCGTATGTATTTCCAGATCCTAGATACACTGGGACTAAGTGTTCTAGAAACATCATACTCGGCAGATTTGTCTGATGAAATAGCTGTTACGGAACTGGCTAAATTATCATTGAATCCAAATCAGATAAAATCACAAACCTATGAGGTTATGGATGATTCCAGTATACAAATTTCAGAGCAATCAGAAAAAAGTAGTAGTAGTCAATCGAAATTCTCCAACCTCAGTCATACTTTGTCATTTGGACCTCGTAATTTCTTGAAACGAACATCATCTGAACGATTAAAGGTAAAATAATAACAAAAGTTTGCAGTTTTGGTATTCAGTGGATTTTTTTAAAACTGACTGTTATAGTCGGTCTATTCGATAAACTAAATCGTTGTTTCACCTTGAATTTCAGCTGAATCTTTGTATTTCCAGTCCAGACTGACTTAAATTTTCGCTTGCTAATTCCAGATAAAATAAGCCAATATATTTAACTACTTTACTTCACACTTTAAAATAAAAAAAATCGTCTGAATGTATTTTACAAGTAGAAGTTTAGTATTATGATGAATAATTCAGAAATAATTTCCTTTTCAGAGGAAGTACACGTGAATTTCACATCTTTACTTACTTACTACACTTCATATTGTTTTTATTATCAAATATCATGTAGTTTTGTTTTATCAGATGACTATTAGCAGTAACGTTTTATTTTTCTAAGCACACATTACTACATCATATCATTTAAATTTCGGGCTTTGGTTCATGTATGGCAAGTTATCCATCATTAGTTACGTTTTGTTTAACTAATTATTTGCGAAATCATTCTATTTTTTGGTAACCTACAATACATGGATATGTAATATTCAGAATATTGTATTTTTTCAAATGGAAATGTACTTTAAGCTGAAAATAGTGACAAAACGTTCAGTGATAACATAAGTTGTAGTCACAACTGATTCTCTGAGTACAAATGAATTTATAACTGATTCTTATTATTTATTATTTCTGTTTGTTAAATATTTCTGCCTTTTATGTTGTGAAAAAATCTCTGTCCATACAAAAACATAACTATCAGACTTTTTCTTCATTCACACTCTAATGATTAGTATCTCTTTCTTTCCCATTAAAACAACTGTTTGTTTGTTTACAATTAGATTTTATTTTCCGGTTTTATAATATTCAACCATTCTAAAAACTATAATGAAAAGTTAAAACAACGTGTTTCTATTTAATATTGATTAAAAGTACGTTTGCTTAAGTATTTAAAACAAGAAAATGCATTCTGATGCTTTGTCATGAAATTCCTGTGTTTTATTTTGATAATTTTTGTAAGTATTTTTCCTTCAATTGAAATCATAAATTTCTAATAAACTTAACGATAGGTTTTTCCTATCATGATTTAACGTGTTATTAATAGGGTTTTTGAAAGGTATGAAATTTTACTGCAATTAGAGCATTGGCTCACTGGTTAAGGGAATCGATTTTCGATAACGAGGTCGCTGACTCGAGTCCTACTCTACTTATTTTGGTTTGGGAATGCGGGTTGTATTGCTATCCCTTATACTTAAAGTGTGATTCAAGACTGAATAAACCAACTTGTATGTGCAAAGGAGCTATATCTAATCGAGTTTTTAAAATTAATTGATCTCTCATTTTAATTAATAACTACATAATATTATTTTCATGAAAATCGATTCTTATTGCATTTTAATCACCAATTTTTCTTTTTTGTCTATCTATGTTGATCTTAGTCTGCTTGTATTCCATATCATGTGGTAAGCGGTTCATATAGTTTTATGGGGAGGGTGACGTAGAAGTTCTGTCGTTGAAGTGTGTTATTACTTAACTTTCTCTATGTTCCCATTCTATCTTTTGCCATGTTATTAAAAATTACTGTTGTACACATTTCACCATTGTTATAATAGTTGGTTTTAATTATTTATTGTCGTTAAAGTTTCGTCAAATGTATATACTGCACAATACCATTTGCTTTTTATCTAAGGATATTTTGTTTCGTTTGTTGTTATTGTGTGTCAGTTAAACTAACAAATTATAAAGTTGAATATTAATAAATTTCTAGGATAATTAATGACAATTTAGGTGATTTATTTTTTATTTTTGCTTTAGACTTACATTCTGAATTATCAAAATTTATCTTAATTTTCGGCACAAAGGATTCGTGGAGATTGCTGAATATTATTTATTTTTAAAACGCCCTAGGTTAGATATGCGTTGAAAAACCACTAGAGAGTTGTTTTTTCGTAGTTTAGCACTTATTGACAGTGAGCATCCACAATCCAACCGGGCGATTACACTCCTGACCTTCGATCTCGTGTCCAAATGTTTAACCTCTTAACCGTTGAATTTGTATCCACTAGTGTACATGTTTGACTTTGATTCCAATAAGTAGTGATTCCTTTATAAAATGAATTCATTCATCAATTATGTTAGCAAAGATTTTGTTTTGCGTACTGAAATCTAGACAGTTAAACACTTTTAAGATTTTTTATAACTTGCATGCATTTGGTATGATCTGCTGAGTGAATCTTGATATTTTAAAATTGCTTAATTTGTAATATCTTCAGTTGCTACAATTAAATCGGTTTTATACGTATATTTATCATTTGCTTTTCTTGTCTTCGACAAAACTTATCGATGATTTTTTAAGGGATAATCTTGAAATAAATATAACTTACTGTTCGCATATCATCTTATGCTGAAAATGATGGATAATTCATCTTTTACCATGTAATGTAGTTGTTTTAAAGTGTAAACTTAATTAACTGCATTTAAAATTTCGGATATGGATTTCCTTGTACAACTTAACTCATAATTCTTGTATCATTTATTGTTGATTCAAAAAATAAACATCATGATTAGTAAAACGAAAAAAGTGAACCAGACTTGAACTTATTGACTATTTGATCATAGCTTATCTAATTTGGAGATAAGGAAATAGAAAGATAAAAGAAGTTAAGGACAACCATCAATAAGGTTGAAGATCAAACACTGTTTTACTATCAAGATTAAAGATTAAAATTCGATAACCTTTGCTAATTTGTGTTATTTTAAATCTTAATTTGTGCTTACTGTCTTGTGTTATGTTAGCTAATTATGATAGAACTTTCAGAGACACCTCTTTGGTATTCCTAAATATCGAGTTCCGATATAATGTTCAATTGAAGAAGTGTGAAGTTTATCTTTTCATCTTCATAATTTTATTGTCAATTCTTAAATAAAGTTTACTATAGCATGAAGAGATGAAAATAATTGAAACAACTTCAAGAATAATCAAAACCATTCGTAAAAAAACTAAAAAGAAATTTTGTCAAAACCTACAGTATAATTTGTTAAACTTTTTTAAATCTCAAGCTGAGAAAGATTATCTTTTATCTGCTATCTTTATATTCCATATACTGTCAAAAGTCTGTCTCATTTTGAAATGTTATTAACTAATTATCTAGTCAAATATTCATTTAACAATTTAAATCTTAGTCGGTTTATACTATCAATCAAGTTTATACTTTATCATCTCTTTAGTTAAATATTTGGAAAATGTCTTATTAAAAGTACTCTACTGCTCGTATATTAATCCAAATCATTCTCTTCTAGATCAATTTGATCTCTTTATAATGCTTAGTTTTTAATTACTGTTTATATAATTACCCCGATACTTTTGCCTTTCAATAAAGTAAACTTGCCAATTTAAACATTTAATACAGAATCAACTGAGCCAAAAAGATTTCTTTTCAGCTAGCTAAACCTATTGCTTAATTTGTGGATATTGTAGATCGTGGTTGGATAACTGTTAATCACTGGTAACTAAGAGCTAAATACTAGCTCATTTGATTGATACTAGACGTAAGGTTGATACGATGTACAAGAATTAAAGTGAATATAGTCCAACTTTTCGTGCCACTACCATTCTATTCGCCATATATCTTACTACATTCAATAAAAGTAATCACTACTTATATTATTGAACTGTGTCTTTGAGAATATACAGTTTCTATGCAATTATCGTGATTAATTTTTACCTGAGCTTTCTACTTTAACCAGAACAACTTACGTCATTTCTATTTTAATTCTGTATCACTTGTATATTTCTTTTGTCGTGTTGAATTGAGATGAAAGACATTGAGGGAAATCTACTGTTGATTACTTTATTGTACAAATGAATATTAGATTATATCACTGCTTATCTTGTCTACTGATTATATGATCTTGTTTTCTGCTATGTACAAAATTGTTAAAACCATGGGATATTCCTAAAAATCTGTGAAATGAATTCATCCGGACACATCTGTGACATTGAAAACAGTTTATATTAATTACATTTCGACAATAGCTGTCATTAAGATCTCGTCAAATCTTCCATTACATGTAAAAAAGTACATTGTAATTATCATTACATAATTTCTTGTGTTTAAGTAATACAATATAAAATTTAAAAAATTGTCTTCAGCCATGGTAAACTTGACTTTAATACTATCGCTGGGTAATTTAACCTGATTGAATTATTGACCTTTCTCTAAATATGTCGTTCCGAATTGTCATGTTAGTGGAACTTTTCTTCCGAAGAAGAAAAAAGCTTGCAACATCTTTAATCCTAATTCATCTATAGCGTTAATATAGGCAATCATAAAAAACGCCTTTTTTCAATTTAGCCATCTACTTGATAGAGACGTAAGACTTATTCATATTTATCCTCTTTTCAGAATATAATATCGACTGTTAACCAAGTATTATATATTGGTCTTTTTATATCTTTTTAAGTTCGAACTAAATTGAGAGAGTTTTGTGCATTTAATTTTGAATGTTTTTAGTTTGTTGACTTGTAGGAAATACATATTATTCTTGTTATTCGTTTTCGGGATTATTAAATAGTTTTCTCGTTCTTTTCTCTGTAATCAGAGACTTCACCACTGAGCTCATTTATACGATAATTGTATTCCGGTTTTTAAATGAATTAACATTCATTCTAGTGTTATACTACTGATTCACTTCAATACTACGATAATAAACAAGACCATTAGCAAGAACTGAATAGTTTGTATTACTATCGTTTTGCATCAATTACTAAGTTCTGTGAGAGACAGTCGAAATCTACTCATACAATCCAACTGTTAGGAATATCCTTGGTTTTAATATTAGATTAATTCTAATTGTTCTTTTCGATCGTATGTACACTTATTTTTAGATTGATTATTAGTCTCTTACTGCCTTATCTCTAATGTTTTCTGCAAATTGCTTTCTCAAGTTATTTATTAATCTTGGTGTATGTATCAGTAATTTTACTGTACATGGTGTTGTCGCTGATGATACATGTTGATATTTTTCTTGTGTGGTTTTCTTTCCTATATATAAAATAGCCCATGGTTTATTTATTTAATTCCTTTTAAACCAATACTGTATTATCATAATCATCTTGTTTGTTGTTCATTCGTGTATGAACCAATAATTTTTGCTCACCATCCTCGCACTCCTCTACTTATTTCCTAAACTCACCGTCCCGATTATTTACCTATTTATTATAAGCGCTATCATCAAACGCGATTCTTCTCCAAATTGTTATTTTTATTTCTGTTTTTCATTTAGAACTTTAAAGCAAATCATCGAGCAAATGATGTGATTACTACAACTGGATCTACACCACTTATCACAGGTCGATTTGCTTTTGGTGGATTGGATTTGATGAGTTTTTCTTCTGAAAAAGTAATTATGACAAATGCATATATATAATCCTTATTTACCATTTAAACTTACTATTATTATCCAGTATGTTTTACCAATACAAGCGTTAGTAGTCATCAATCAATCTCAATGTATCATTTCAACCCTTCCTTATAGGCGGGTAGATTTTATCGCTTCTAACTTATTAGAAAAACTACTGATAAATTTTCAATATTCACTTCTATACCAAACACACTTTTTGTAATTATATAAAGGTAGCCTGAATGTAACAAATCATGATTCCTTCAATTTTGGAGCTCTCGATCCCCATGAATCAGTTCACATTGGCACTCGTTATTAAGGTTGTATTAACTATTTTTGTTCGGTAATCATAATTTTATTTCTTACGGATAGGTGGGTGAATAGACAACAACCAATATACCTAAATTATATCTAGTTAATCTTGTCAAATGTACAACTTATCCCAGTTTGTTTCAGTGTTTTAAAAATCGAGATCATTCTTAAATTGTGATCACAAGATTCTTAGCGGAATTTTAATACATTTTTACTGGATCCATTTTTGGTTGGTTCGTAAAGTCTCCTTCTTGATTTTTATTACAAAAAGTATTGTTGTTGAAATTACACTAAATGCAGTCCTAGTTAATTTTAAATATTATTCCATTTTAATTTGCCGATTTACTAAGTCTAAATTTTTGGTATTCAATTACAAAACTGTAAGTTATCTCATAGCCAATAACTGAATAATCAGTTAATATGAAATAAAACTTTTAAGTAGGTATGATTCATTTTCACGAGTTTATTTACACTTCTATCCGCTACTTACATAATTTTATAAATAATTTGCAGATCCGAGTTGAAATTCAATCTATTAGTGGGTCGTGGTCATATTTATGCACAGAAGTGACTGATTCTTCTGGACGAATCCGATTCTCTTTGCCAGAACAAATTCATCTCCCGGATGGACTATATCCTATTAAAATGACCGCTGAATCTGATCCTGATCACCCAGTAATTATTACATTAGCTATAGTACCTCCTCAAACTGAGGTAGTGGTATTCAGTGTAGATGGAAGTTTTGCAGCAAGTCTGTCTCTGATGGGAAAAGTAAGTTTATTATGGAAAAATGGCATAGTTAAGTGTAGTGTCGCCGATAAGTGTATGATTACTTTTCATTGCTCATGTATAGTTCCTGATGTTCTTTGTAAATTGTCATTCTTTTTTCAATAGTCCGATAACATATCTCTGTTACTACACTCTTCCCCATCAAGTTACACACGATGGTCATACCAATATAACTTATTGCAGTTGGAGCTGTCTCTTCTAATATATAGCGTAGGGGATGACACAAGGTTGATTAGCCTTTCATTGTAATTTACTCGAGGTATCTTGATACTAATACTAATAGCTATTCAATGCCATAACTTTAGTTACAGTTGAGAATTTCGATTACTAGTTGTGCAATACTACAACAAATATCTCTGGCATGAATTCAAATAGTAATTATTGAAAGCATACTTCAAAAAGGGCTTTTAACAGTCAGTATTTCCCGGCAGTTGTAAATCGCTAAAGTTTTTAACAAGTTCAACTTCTACAACCATTTTTCCATTCATCATCTATAAGATGCTTGATTTCCAAAATATTTGTCTCTCGCTTTTCCGAGGGATAGTTATTGTGCCAAATATGCCAAGAACTGTAGCGTTTCGATTAACGTTTTCCAGTATTTTAGATCCCGATAATTTATAACCCTTTTATAATGGGGCGTGAGCACGTACGATCAGGATTTCTAATTGCTCACTTCAAGGAATTCTAAAACATTTAGTTTAATTGCAACATTTTCACAGTTGGAAAGTAGGGGGACCAAACGTTTGAACTGGCTGCCTCATCGGATACCAAAACATAGAACACCACTATTTTTCATTTCATCTTTACTGTTGTTCTCATTCTTGGTGTACGTACTGATAACTATCGACCCATTCTTTCACGTTCTATGCGATAATCACTCTGTAATTTGAGGATATCTATGTCAATCCGAAGCTTTAACATTTTTGAAAGTAAAATTACCTACTACTTTCAGTGCAAAGATTTCAGAAAAGGCTTCTGAAGTATGGTTAAACAAAGTTGACCAACTAAAAATCGTACTTATTGCTTTATATACTTGACCCATAAAAGAAGACTTGTTTTGAGTATAACTTTCATAACACGAATCTATATTTCCTATTGTGTGTAAATCATGCCATTATGTTAAGGCAGTTGACTGGTCACTGAATAGTGAATTATGTCGTGCTGGTCTACTATTTAGTGCCGCTCAAATTCTATCGATCAAGTGAGAACGCAGCCATTCGTCTAAGTGACCAAACATCTCATGCGTTGTGCTGTGATGTTAATTAGTTATAGGAAGTCGACTGGACACTCTGAACCTGTTTCGTGCTATTCAAGTCTTATCTAGTCACTTAGACTATTGGTCGGTTACAGGTTAATCGGTAAAATAGGTTGTTAGGGTTGACCGAGTCAATAACCTGTATTCTTAAACATATTTGTGATCGAAAAGTTGTACAGATTCAGATTTTTTCCCTATCTTTTTCTTTTCTTTTTGTAAAGAGACTTGTTGAAATATCTCGTGCTGAGAGTTTTATACTGTACCAGAATATAATATTGAATAAAGCCATTAATAATAATAATATTCTGTCAGCAAATGTGACTACAAAAACGTGATATTAGTCACTAATCTGTGATCGGTCATTGGTAAATATATCCCAGTTCTACAGCAGGTCAGCGGTGCCCGACTGGCTCAATGGGAATGTCTCTGGCCGTGAATCCGAGTGACAGTATCGAATCCAATAGGGATCACCAGTTCCTTCAAGATTACAGACACATTTTGCTGACGAGTGGCAAATATCATGAAACACATCTTGACTTTTATATATTCCAGCCACCTTAGAGGTCTGAATTTGGTTTTGGTTTTTCGGTGACTTCAAATCTTAGAAACAAGTCTACATATTATGTGCAAAAAGCAATGATTACGTCGTGGTTCTTTTGACGTTCTATTGTCATTGTGTGTAGCTACTTTTCCAAGAATCGTACAATCGCCGTTAAGTCTTATTGTAGAATACATCATTCCAATCAGTAATGTTCTACCTCAATTATTCGTTCCGTATGCATCCACTATAGATTTCAATTTTATTTGTCCCTATTTCTTATATAGTCCATTATTGTCGTGATTATTGTCAGAGAATTATTACCCGATATCATAAATCACGTTCACACTTACAGTATTGTACGAAACATAAATATAGGTAACTTCACTGTAAATTCCTATCAGCTTGTTTACATTTTTGCCACATGAAATAAAAAATTTAATTCAGCTGATAACAATACCGTGCAAATGTCATCGGAAGATCATTATCAAATTAAGCTGATCATAAATGTCTGTGTGCAACTTTTGTTTGGTAATTCTAACCATTAAACTTATATTTGATTGATCCGCATATATATTTTTTATTATCGTATGCACATTCTGTTATAGGATCCGAAAGTTCATCCTGGTGCTGTAGATGTTGCTCGTCACTGGCAGGGATTAGGATATTTATTAATCTATTTGTCTGCACGACCAGATATGCAAAGACGTCGGGTTACAAATTGGATGGCAAATCATAATTTTCCATTTGGGATGACTTTCTTCCTAAATGGATTATATTCAGATCCACTGAAACAGAAGGCTCAAATGTTAAAAACAGTTGTTGAAAACGTATGCATTCTGTCATTCTGTTTCATTTTGTTGTTTGTATTTTTTCATACATTACGTAAAGATTGTATTAGTTCCTTGTCGCACTCTCTCGTAGAAATCATCACTTTCGTAACTCATTTAGAAATAGACTCTATCATTCTTACGGAAATTTACTCTTAATATGTATTTGTTTTAGTTTCGTTACTTATCGCTTTATGTTATATGATTTATACGATAGCCAATAGTAGTGCATCTTTTAAGTTTAAAACGACAGTTGAAGATTCTGTTTTTACTCCTGTCGACTGGTGAACGGTAAGAAGAATTTTGTTTGCGTATTTGCTTAATAGTTACCGTCTTCGATTGTTCAAATTCGATGTAATTTCTGTAAATTCATCTGAGCCCTATAGTTATACTTCAGATGATCAAAAGTAGGTACTCAGTTGTATATCGAGTTTTGCGAATTACTAAGACAATACATATGTTGGTATTTTATCTTCAATGTGACAAAAAACAACCTTCAGACTAACTTGTCTGGTCTACCTCTTCAAACATTACAATATTTTTTTTAAAATGCAGTCACATCCTTAAGTGAAAAAAGAAGCACCTGCATTCCACCTATCTTTACGTTCTCTAGTAATTAGTTAGTTATGATTTGAAATCATATTTTCATCAGTTTTTAGTTTGAATCTTTTGTGTTGTGATCGGCTGATAGGTTTTATGTCTCTTAGCATATTCAAACACACGTTACGTTTTGCATCTGTCATTAGGTTAACAATGCATATATACTTAGCCCAGACCTTGTCTATTGGCCGGGTGTATTTAGCACTTGAAACAAGGCAGATCATGAAACTATGTTATTCCGCTTAATACTCACATTTCGTTCCTTAACCAACAGATGCTAGTTTACATTATAAGCTTTCTCTATAGCTTTTTACTTTAAAGTAACACACTGTTGTAAAAAATCACATTAGATTTTAGTTAAGTACTAATTACCGAGTTATCCTTCATTGTCTTTCTTGTAGAGAATATTTTCATTTAAAGTTAACTGTCAATGTAATACAAGTTAATTATCATCTATGATCATATTTTTTTATTAATTAGCCATTTTTCCTTTCATAATATAAATGTTAGGCCAATTTGCGAGTTCATTGTGGTTATGGATCAGGTAAAGATATCAATTTATATCGTTCTCTTGGTTTATCAACCCAGAACATCTTTCTAGTTGGTAAAGTCTCTCGATCACAGGCATCAAATGGAACTGTAATTTAATTTATAATTTGTTTGTTTCATGTCATTTTATTTGTTCCTTACATTTTTGTTAACTGATCAATTTATTCGCAATTACTGTGATGGGTCACTCGTCTTGTGTACACTCGATTGCTTTTTAACATAATGGTGTATATAATTTCTGTTAAACCAATTAACTATTGTATTTGCGTCCTTAAGATTTGAGAATAAACATATACACCTTAAAAGTAATGGATATCTCCCTATCGTTTATAATGAGGTCAAAATAACGATAAAGATGAGCAAAGCATATCCATCTGTATTTAGTAATTCCATGTTCGAAACTCCATTCCAAGCACTATTTTGTGATCTTGTCGTACCTCATCGTGGCACAGTTTTCTATGTAGATAAGCTCGTCAGCAACTGTGATGGATGCACTATATTGGGACCTTCAGTTTGCAAAAGGTTTTTCCATGCTGAATCAATTCCAGGATTCACTTATATTCGCTTAAAAAGCCAAGAACTTTAAATATTACCTTCGATTATACCAAGTGTAATTTGACGAATTTCCGATATACAGAGATTTGTTATAACTGTTTGATATCAGTGAATAAGTAAAGCTCAGATACGCAGACAAGGGGTCTTTGCACCCAAAAAGTTTAGATTTACGCTTAAAAAGCCTGTGGTTAATCCTATTGAAGTCTTTAGATAAGTCAACACACAGCACTGAGACTAGGTGATCAAAATTACTTTCAGTAAATACTAGAATAAAAAGTCAAAGTCCGAATTCATCCAAGATTTAATCTTAATGAATCTCTCTTATGGACTAATAGTAAGTTTTACAGCGGATTAATATTTGGAAATTTCGTTACATGGTTTGGAGATAACTAAAGTGATATATATAAGCTCATAATTTTGCGAGATTTTCTTATCTTCAGTTTTGAAATGTTATTTTTTATATAGCTGTGGTAGATTCCTGCTTCCATAGACAATATAAAGTTTTGGTTGGAGTGACAAAATTTGGATGCAATTTCCTTTACTCTATGACTTCTTAAAATCTTAGGGGAATTTATAATTAAACGAATCGTCTAAAGGTATTTATACTATTCAGCTTATCAGTATAGGGGTTGTGGAGATTATTCAGTTTTTGATTGAGATCATGAATTGATTGATGTAAGACTACCATTGGAGACTTGGAAGTACTGGATGGCCGCTTCGTCCTATTGCGGGACTCCTCAGCAGTGCGCATCCACGATTGATGTCGGGTAGTGACATGTATCTATATGATTACAATGGAAGATGGTCGCGCGATTTCGTGGATCGTTTGAGGTTAGACATTAACATTATTGGATGCCGGTCCAGTAGGTTGAGCGTTCGCACACGAAACTGAAGGTCCTGGGTTTGAATCCCGCGAGTGGGATCGTGGATGCGCACTGCTGAGGAGTCCCACAATAGGAAGAAACGGTTATCGAGTGCTTGCAGGTTTTCAGTGGTGGCCTAACATCAATCGGTTCATGGTCTCAATCAAAAACGATTTAGTTTGTTAAATTCGTCATTAGTCCTGATCATTCAAAAAAATTTCTGTAAGTTTAGTTATGTTCACAACTAACAATTTCAGTATCTCAGTTTACACGTTTATTAAATTCGACCGCGTATTGGGGTCTAACAACTGAACTCAATGACTTTTGATGTCATAAAAATTGTCTGATTTATTGTATCACGTGTTTTTTTTTCTATTATTGAAGCCATTATCACAAGGATATTCGTCGCATTTATCTTCGTTAATCAATGGTCATACTTTATCTAGACCTGCTGTCGGATCAATGAGTATAGCAGTGCGTTGTTGTCCTTTTGATTTACCGTCAGTTTATCCCTCGTCACCGTTATTAATGGAGTCTAACTTGCTTCGAAACAATTCTCTCAAATTTTCACCTCAATTGAGCCAACGATTATTATTCAATGATGAAATAGAACAAAATACATTGTAATATTCCTAATACTTATCACTTATTATTTTATTCAAGTGATTCATCCATGTAAGCTTCAATGTTATAAAAAGATGAAATTTCAAACTATTTTTGAGAGTTAAATTCTTTGTGTTTGTATATTGATCAACTAGTTTTCCCCCTATTTTCATCCGTACTATATCATTTTCAATTTTATTATTGAAAAAACTTTTCAGTTTAATAACTGGCAAAGGTTTCCCATTTGCTTGTCACTAAATAGCATTAACTCTAAAACTTTATCTTGTAAATCTTCGTTTTTTCGATGTTTCATACATTGTATTTAATCGCTCGGTTTTACAAATAGTTTACACACTCATCATTCACTGAGATTATAAATTACTCAAAGATCGTGATCATTTCTCATCATAATCTTGTATTATTAATTAAGTGCAAATATATTACGCAACTATGTTGCTCCTATCCAAATTTTTGTTGATATACGATTGTGTATCTATGCTTACTACTTTATTAAGCGAATATAAGCTTTCTGTTGTCCCATTGAAGTGAATAAACATACTTTCCAATTAGTAAACTGTGATTTGGTTTTTTATCAACTACAAATTACATTTTTTTTATATTATTGATTAATTATTCCTACATTCTGTACAATTTATAATTGATGGTTAATTTGTTCACTTATAAAATTGACTCAGTTTCTGTTTTATAATATATTTTTCAATGTTGTCAAAGTTGTGTTGAATTGGTTTCAAAGTTATATGATGTTAAATATGTTTTGGTTGTAAAATTCTCCTACAGATTCTAATTTTCTGTAGATCTAAAAAGTATATTTCCTGCGCATTTGTTTCAACCGATAATAAACTTATATGATTCTTTCATGAATTTTTGATTGCTTATCTATTTTTTTCATAATAGTTATAATCACTAAGCATATTAAATGTAGGCAAATGTTTAATTGAAGCCATTCTTACTCATATCAACAGAATACTAAACACTCATGTATAATAATATATTCTAAAAATAATAATTACAGAATTCACGCCAGTTTACAGGCATGATCAATTTGATATAAATAGTAACATTAGATGTACAGAACAAACATGTGATAGAAGATAGTTTTAAGTATACTAGCTCAGTAATTGTTTAGGTAGTACATTTGTGACATGTATTACGGCAGTCTTATGCATCAGCCGGGGACTTTTAATTTTTTTTAAGTCGACAGGCTGTTGATTTATGAACGGAGTAATTAAGGTCATTCCGTGTGCCAGAACGAATGAATGATAATTATCTACAACTAGAGAAAGTAAAATGAAAATCGAGAGCACAGAACAGCAAAGAAATAATCACTAAAATATGTCACGAATGCGTTTCATGTCGAGCACTGTGAAAATAAGAGCGGGAAGTAATTATTATTGATGCCACAATGGCTATAGTGAAAGTTACTGCTGTTGTAGGAAGCTGCAGTCTTCTCAACGGTAAGCAGTTTTAACTCGAGAAGTTCCTCTGCTTGCTCACATTAGTAATCACGATATCCTTCTCAATGTAATTATATATATAATTTTTTTGAAGTTGCGAAGAATTGGTTGAGACAAACTGTCAACAAGAAGTTTTCATATATGCCAACAATTCTTGAACAAATATTTTGTACTTCAAATGGAATAATTTTGTTTTTTATGTCCACAAGATTGAATAAATAATCTTACAATAAACGGTCAAGTCGTTTACAACCGTCAATTGACAGTTATCGTAGTAAATAATCATGCATCAATGTCTGGTTGTTAAGCATTTAATTTATCTCTACGGATCGTCGTAAACGACATATTTATTACTCTTGATCTGAATATACATTTTGGTTCAACAATTAGGGATCCAGGCATTTCTAAGTCTTTATAGTGTAACATCAAATAACTTGGGTCAACATACATTACATACCTTAACTTCTTAGCTCTCGAAACGAACACTCATAATGTGGGTATGCTTAATATTCCACGGTCTAGGACCACCTATCGATCTGTCAACAACTGAAACTTTTCCAGTATGACTATAGATCCTATCGACAAACTATGAAACCCAAATCATCTTTATTTACTAGTTCATAAAGACTATATTTTTTATATAAAATAGGCGATTGTTGCTTTCAGGTCAAGTATACTTTAAGTTAGGATACTTACTGGCCTCTAAACTGATTAATTGGTACACGAAAAATATCAGTCGTGGATGTAACAAATTGATTAATCAAAACAACTATAATATGCAATATCATAATCTTGTGAAAGATATAGTACCGACTGGGAATAGTTTCCAACGCCAATGTAATATTGCTGTTTAAAGTTGCTAAGTTGTGGTCGAAATTTATTTGACATCATATCTGCAGCACTTTCTGTTACTTAATATGATGTTTCATCAAAAAATGATGGTAACTGTCCATATAACAGAATTTGATTTGATGTGACATTATTGATGTTTGAAGTTATAATTGTAATATTCCTTAAGTGCTTTCATGATATGGCGGGATTGAATATATCATTTCGAGTAACCTCTTTCATATATTCGTCGCTATAAACATAAATGCCCTTGATCTCGTGGGTTCGGCCTTTTATGGATCTTAGTGACTGCTTCTGTGTGTTAAACTACGTTATTTGTGCTACTAGGATAGACAGTTTCTAGGATAGATCCGAATATCTTTTGAAGGATTCATAAACGTCTAAAAGTGGTATAACAATACTAAGCTAATTTATTCTTAACAGCCATAAATCACATGAGCCATGCCAATGAACATGTAAGATAAAACTTTCACGAATGTTGTGCTATTTATTACGTTAAACTAGTTTAATCATTTTCTTTTGAGTGATATAACGACACCGTTCAGAAGCAAGATAATAAAATGTTGGTACACAAATAAACGATTGTTGAATTGTAACAGAACTGTTTAATGTAAAAGATGGCGCTTCATATGGATGCTGCCTTACACTGATGAGCTGATAACAGTATATGCTTCACATTTCATTAAATTTATAAAACAGAAAACCTGTTTCATTTTTTTCAGTGTTTCTTGTGACCGGTTTTCACGCAGCTGCTATAACAGCCTTTATTGTAGAAAGATTTTTTATCGGATGTATGAAGAAAGAAGTGCTCTGCCGTTACGTTCTGAATACATAATTTAGACACTGTATTAGGATAATTTATTCAACATTGACATAGGTGAATTTTTGACATTACTTCTTTTATTTTAATTATTTACACCAAATTGTTAGGATCACTGATGCTATGTGTTAAAGAACTGCATTGACTAAACTTGTTGCTGATATCCATTATTTTCGGTGAGATAATCGGTGCAACAGCCGAGGAATAGTGTTGATAACCACTCACAAACGGATAAGTGTCACATATTTAGATAATTGGAAACTTCTAAGTCTTCACTTCGATTTGAGAGGCAAAGCTCATTGATAACAACATCCAGCTTGAGGTCACCAAAACATTTAAGATGATGGCTCAGTACAGTACGACCATGATAGAATAATAATTGTAGTAGTGTAATTTAACTTAAATTCTATATTTTATAACATCAATTTGTTTATGACAAGAAAAATAACTGAAACAGAGCAAGTCACAAAAAGTTTTCGAATATATGCCGTGAAACATAATGTATATTTTGATATTCTTCTGATTATTTTGCCTAAGAAGTATATATTTACTTACCTGGCCTTTCTTATTTTGATAAATTATTGATCTTAGGTTTTGGGCCTACTCGAAAAGTGTTTGAGGGAAGTATGAATCAACTTTTTAAAAGTTTATTTTAAGTGAATAATTAGTGGACTTAAACTAATGTAATAAAGAATTTCATAAGTTTATATTACGTATCAAGCGGGCCGAGCACATTGTAGTGGTGAATCCCAAAAACAAATAGCTCTGTAAGTCTTCGATATCGGATGCTGACCATAATAATTCTAATGGATTCCCTTAGCTGAAGGCGCTCGGTCATTCATCCGCACCAGATCAGGAGTAGGAACTCCGTGCTCAACATCCCCTGCAATCGCCAGCCAGATGATCCTCGATATATTGATAGCCTATCAAATATATTTTCGAACCTCGATTCTGTCTTTTGATTTCACTTAGTAGATACGATTTATATCAGGTGTTACTGGTTAAAGCGTTGTCAAACTCCAAATACCCGTGGCATCTTCAACATCTTTAGAAGCACTGAAATACGACTACATCTAAACATTACATACAGGGGCTTTAGATATGAGTTTTTAAAAAGAAACCATTTATGACAATGCTGTCCCTCATCTTCCGTGGTAGATTGAAAATCTTACAAACAAATGTGACAATACTTTTATAGAGGCCAATATTAGTGTGCATTAATTTGATGGTGATTAAAAGCCCGTAGTAAAATTACATACTGTGTATTGGTAAAAGTTTCTTTTGAACGTTTATCACTAACAACGTAATTATAAAATACTGTCAGTTTAATTAGTTCGACTAACGTAGCTCATTTGATTTAAGACGTCTAGGACGAAGTGAAAGTTGGCACTTATTATCAAGAAGAGTAAATATCAGAAGTAAAGTCGCAGAATAATTTATAGTCTTACTTCTTTTAGAAAAAGAGCTTTTTATAAATCAAGATATCAACAGGATCATGTGTAGTGCACTTTGCTCAGTGACACGATTTGCAATGCACATGGCTTCCATGGTCATTTAAAACTACGATGTAGGACATGGACGTTAATCTTCACAGCACAGAACGATCAACTTGACGAGAGTAGTAATAAACGCCATAGGGACTCATGATGCACAAACTTATGAACTTCTTTGAAAACCAGAGCTTGTGGAAAAGTAAATTGTGGAGCTTAAGAGACGGCTGAATGTGTATTATAGTTGCTCATAAACGATGTAGTCTACATGGACTAAAGCAAAGCCCTAGACATAGCTAACCAAACTATGTTTTTGACGTTTGATGAATAATATTTGTTGGTGAGCTTGCAGGTATCTTTTCATTTGAATTTGAAGGCAACTTTTTACAAAGAAAGATTTATTTTCAGTTATAATGAGGTGTAATAAATCTGTTTGACCTTTACGAAAATGATTCCAGTAATAGTGCATCCAATGTCACCCACTTTGGTTATGATATTTCGTAAGTTTAATGAAATTACAACTGTTTATTCTGATCTGTTTCCAAACTTAGAGTACTCTTTAAAAAGTCGTGGACATCACTCTGATGGTGGTCGTACTCCCTTCCCTGTAGCTACTTTTACCAATTTATTTCTGTAATAACGTCCTCCAAAGTAGCCCTAGGGTCTTGATATAAAGAATAGTTAATCCGCGTTAGGTGCTGACTGCAAGGTGTGAATTAAAAGTTTCTGTTTCGGCGCACAACACTTATCTTCTCGAGTAGGCCCCTAATTGTTCGAGACAGATGATCTACGTTACCGATCTGTAATGTCATTCAATATGCCAAAAAATTGAAACCAGAAAGTTGGAGAAAACGAAAGATAAACGGTTGTCAATAACCCTAATGATATAAGGACGTGACGACTACTCGGAAATAGCAAATAATATAAAAACAATAATGTGTGAGAAACAGAACTAGGAGAGAAATGTGCATACAGCCAGCAATAGGAGAAACGACGCATATGAACATTAAAAAAATATCAGGGACGACATGTATGATAAGTTGTTTATACACACTCACACCGGAAATACATGATGTGGAGTTTACAAGTACCTCTAGGTTTAAGGAGAAACAAAGAGTGCTGAGACTTAGAATTTGC